CTTACTATACCCCTCTGTTTATTTACTAATTCTTATATAACTTCTTAAGCTACTATAGTAGTAGCCTAGGCTATAGTAGTTATATTAACTATTTACTATACTAATTATTATATAGCTTCTTTATATAAATCTATTACCTTAGGTATATCTTCTTTAATTATAATAAGGTTAATATAATACCTATACTCTAAGAAGAAAAGGCTTATATTAGTAGCTATAGTAGTATAATTATTAATTAATAGTTATATTACTAGTAGCTACTATACCTAATCTTTCTAGAGGTAGCTTATGTAGGCGTAGAGTATTACTTAGACTTCCTAGTTAAACCTCTTAGTAGCGCTATTACTCTAGGGGTAGTAGAAGGTACTAAGTTATTATATTATCTTAGTAAGTATATAAAAGTAGCACTAAAAGTAGCTTATTTAGTTACTTTCCTAGTTGCTTACTATACTCTTAGGTATACTATAAAAATAAAAGTAGTAATTTAAGAAGCACTTTATATAACTTTCTGCCTCTATAGTTACTATAGCCTTAAGGGTTACTAATTTACTTAGTTAGTTAATAATAACCTATATATATTTAGCCTAGTCTAGTCTTAATATTAAGAGGTTAGTAATAAAGTCTATTAATAGGTTACTTTAGAGGCACTTTAGTACACTAAGTAGTTATAAAAGGCCTTTTTTACTTTTTACTATACTTTACTACTACTATATATATTATAGTTATAAATAAAGTAGTACACTACTTATACTTACTTTAGCTAATAAAACTAATACAATAGTATCTTTAGTATACTATTACGCCTAGGGTAGCTAGTTATAGTTAAGTTATAGCTTTATTAGATTAACTAGGTATATAGGCTATTATTAGGGATTTAGGGTCTTAGCTACTTAGCACTTATAGCCTCCTTCTCTAGGTAATTAGGACTTATTATTAAGTGTGTAGTCTATAACCTAAACATATAGCTATAGGGTAAAAGGAAGCTTATAGGTGCTACTAGAGATAGCTTAGTAAACCCCTTAAAATAGGGTATTACTGTCCTATATAGAGTCCTATAGTTACTATAGGTTATTATTATTAAATATAGTTATATATAGTATAAGTAGTATACTTATACTATATACTATAGGTATTATAGTATTAAGGATTATTTAAATAATTTACTTTACTTCTATTTGTTGTCTTAACCCTTAAGGTGTCTTGTTTATACTACAAGAGTATATCTAAGACTACTGCTTTTTTCCCTAGTTAGTATATTATTTTAAAGTTATACTTTAATAGGACTTTTACCTACTAGCTTTAATATTCTATTAGTTTTTACTTCTTTATAAAGTATTCTAGGGACTTATAGTCTATAACTACTATAAATATACTTTTAGTACTCTTAAGCTTTACTCTTATATATATAAGTAGTTAATAATAGTAAGTATCTCTTTATTATAGATTAAGTAGTTATACTTAGTAAAAGTAAGCTTATATAAGTAAAAGGTAATAGGTTAGTACTAACTAGTGCTGTCTTTCTATATTAGTATACTACTAGTAGTATAACTAAAGTAGTTAGTCTTTATAAACGTTAGTGCTTATAAATTAAAGTTATATAGTAGTAGGGTATATTAGAAGTACTTCTTAATATTATAGAACACCTTTTATAATCTTTGTTTTAGTAAAAGGTTATATTTTCTTAGTTAGCTTTATAAGGAGGCTACTATTATAGAGTAATTATTAATAAATATCTAGTAATAGTTAGTAAACCTTAGGAAACTTTAGACTCCTTTAACTAATTTAGGCGCTAACTATTTACTTATAGTATATACTTTATCCTTGTCTATAGATATACCTTAGCCTACTTTAAGTATAAACCTAATATACTTAACCTTTTTAACACTAAATTTACTCTTAGCTATATCTAGGCTAAGCCTTTATATATATAACTTAGTAAAATATTATACACCTTCTTCTTATAGTCCTCTTAGTACTACTTAAGTAAATAAGGATATTATTAAGGTATATAGTAATATAGTTATTAAAGAATTTATATAAAGTGTTATTAATAAAGTACTACTAGCTTATAGGTATATTAGTTAACCTAAAGAGGTAAATAAGCTATTTAAAAGCCTATAATATATATAGAATATAGTCTTATACTTTCTTCTTTTACTATTTTATCTTATAGAATACTACTATAATATTTACCTTAGTATACTACTTTACTCTTTACTTATTAGAGGTCTTAGTAATTAAGGAGTAAGTAGTAGTTTTCTTTATAATAGTATTTAGTGTATAGTAGTTATAGTAAAAGCATAGGCTACTACTAGGTTTATATATAAATAGTACTAGTACACCTATAGCTAAGCTACTAGCGTATATAAATCTTTATTAAGGAGGTCTTCTAGTGTTCTCTTAAGTATAAGTAGCTTCTTATATAATATACTATAAAGTAGTCCCTAAGGTAATATAGTATTAGGTTTAAGGTTAATATAATAGTCTTAGCCTAGTTAGTACTAGGAACTATTATTAAGGTGCTTAGGTTAAATAGGTTACTATATTTATTATAAACCTATTATAGTAAGGCTATAATTACTATAGCCTATTAGGCTACCTTGTCTACCTTTAGTATTAGTGCCTTTTATATATTAGCTAGGCTAATAGCTATTACTTATAGAAAGGCCTAGTTATCTTATTAAGAGGAGAGTAGTACTTTTATTATATATACTCTTATAGGCAGCTTATTAATAAAGTATAGTAAAGAGGAGTATACTTACTATATATACTACTTAATTTCTTAAACCTTAGCTAACTCTTTTTAGCCTACTAGTTATAATATAAGGTTAGTGTAGCTATAGTAGATAGTATATTTAGCTATATTAAATATAACTTTATTATCTTTATCTAGGGCTTCCTAAGAAGATATCTTAGCCTAGGTTAAGTATAATATATATATAATATACTAGTAATACCTACTTAGCTTTAATTTAAATACTACTATCCTTTAGTTATTATAGGCTAAGTGTTATCTATAAATCCCTTTAAGAAGTCTTATATTATAAGATATATAGTAAGTACTTTAGTATATAAAGTAGCTACTTACTATTATATAAGTATTATAGCTAGTATTAGTAAAGGCTTAAACATAAGAACCTTTATTAATATAGGTATCTAGTAGTACTAATAGTCTAATTATTTTTTACTATATAAAAACTTCTTTTAACCTTTATATTCTTTACTTATTAGCTCTAGGGCCTAATTTTATCTTAAGTTACTTTTTTCTAAGTCTTTACTATTAATATCCTTCTTTTATTATTATTAATAAAAGCTTTTAATATATATAAGGGCTACTACTTTAGCTATATATACTACTAGTTATATAGTAGTATATTACTTAGTAATATATCTTTTCTTTTAGTAGTAAAGTATACCTAGGTGTCTTTATATATATTACTATACCTTATTAGTTTTACTATTATTTTTATAAAGTAACTTTTATTACTTTATTTATAAATAGCCTTTACTATTATAGTGTTACTATTAGTATCCTTATATAAAGGTAAGCACTACTTTTAAAAAGGTATAAAGGTCTTTAACCTTCTAGGATACTTTAGTAATCTACTTAACTTACTTATTATAGTTATCTAAGAGAAAACACTTACTAATATAGTATAAATATAGTAAAAGTATATTTATAAGGAGTATAATATATATATTATAGTCCTAAGACTACCTACTAGCCTTTACTAGTGTCCTTTTAAACTTAGATAAAAAATAAAAAGGTTTTATTATCCTTATATAGATAAAGACTAGTGTACTAGCTATATACTACTTTATTAAGGTTACTATAGTATACTCTAGGTACTATAAGAATTATTTAAGGTTATAGTTATATTATTTACTACTTTACTAGTAGAATATAAAGATAGTATATTATAGCCTAATCTCTAGGTATATATTAATAAAGTACTATACTTTATAATTATTTATAAAGAAGGTATAATTAAGCTTTATTTTATTATATATCTAGTGTAACTATAGGGAAAGTTATAGTATAGGCCTAAGAACTTCTTAGGCAAAGGTAGTAGCTTCTAGGTCTATGCTTAGGAGCTAGCCTCCTACGTAGGTACAGCAAGTGCCTACGTAAATTTAGTAGGTGTTTACATAGGCCTAGCGCCTATAGGTATAGGTTTAGTGTACTCTTGTGTAGTTACTACACTTTTCTCTGCTAGCGTTATAGTACTTTATTTAATAGCTATTATATTAGCTTAAAGGCTTAAGATAATGTTATATATTTTAAGTAAGGCCTTGTATATAAAAGCTACCTCCTTTTATGCTAGTATAGGCATATTACTTAGCTTACTTATTTAGTTAGTTAGTAAGTCTAGATATATAAGGGGTTAGTACTACCTTTTAATAAGTATATAGTAACTTAATATAATTAATCTAGACTAAGGAGAAAAGGTTATTTATAGTAGTGTGCATATTATATATATAAGGTTAAATAGGGGTACTAACTAAGCGCTAACCAAGTGCGTCTGCCTTGCTAGCTTATATATTATAGTAGGCAAAGCCTTACTACACTTACTATAGCTTTAGCCTATAATAGTTTTTAGTACTAAAACTTAATATTACTAGTATATTAGTAATAAACTATTAACTATTTAAGAAGGCTAAAATAAGAGAATATAAAAAGCCTAAATACTATATAAGCTTTTAGTATACTAAGTTTAGTTTATAAAGAATAAAGTTATCTAGATTCTTAAAAAGTTAAGATTTATAAGTAAAATACTAGTAAACCTTAACAGTTAAGTACTTAGCCTTATTACTAAGAATCTACTAATTAAATATACTTAAAACTTTTTTTATAGTTTTTTATCTATATTATATACCTTATAGTAAAGTTATAGACTTTTTTAACTATTATTAGTGTAGATCTTAATAGCTAGTTTTGGCTGTTTTTGGTGGGAAAAGTGTTCCAGATGTAGGGGTGTTTTATATGTGGGTGCTTTGACTTAAATCGTAAACGTGCCATTAAGTCTCAAGTCCCGACTGCTCGCCCCCACAAAGACGTCGTACTCCCCCTCCGCCAGGCGCCACTGCTGCGCGACGACGTCCCACACACTCAGGTCCCGCCTTGTCAGCCGGAACTCAACTGTCGCGCTCCCGCCCGCCTCGATGTACACCCTCTCGAAGCCTCTCAGCTGTCTCGCCGGGGTCCCCTCGACGGGGATGCCGACGTACAGCTGCGCGACCTCGTGGCCCGCCAGGCCACCCGTGTTCTTCACCTGCGCTGAGACGACGTAGACATCCTCCCACAGCGCCGGGTGCCCGCCCTGCACGATCGCCACGGAGGGGTCGGGGACCCCAGCCACTGGCTTGCCCACGGGCGACGCCGAGAGCGAAGCGTACTCGAACGTCGTGTAGGACAGACCGAAGCCAAACTCGTACCGCGGCGCAATGCCGTCGCGGTCGAAGGCGCGGTAGTCGACGAATAGGCCCTCAGAGAAGTCATCCTGTGGGAACGGGCTCGGGTCGACGCTTGAGTTGCCGAGGGCGCCAAAGTCGGACTCAGCGTGCGCGACGGTGTAGGGGAGTCTACCGCTGGGGTTGACGTCGCCGTAGAGGATGTCGGTGAGAGAGTGGCCAGACTCCTGTCCGGGAAGCCCGGCAAAGAGGATCGCAGTCACGTTGGGGTGGTCGGCCCAGGCGTCGACTACTCGCGTCCCTGGATGATGTTAGTTGACTCTTCGCAATGGTCACGGGCTGGGGGGTAAATACCAGCAGAGTGCAGCACAACGATGGTGTTGGGGCAGCTAGCGGCGACATTGTTGACCAAGTTGTCACTGAATTGGTCCGAGAGACTGCTGCGGTCGTACCCCTCCGCAGACCATGCGTTGATGAACACCAGGCAAGCCTCGGAGTTGACGTAGACGGGCTGCGGATTCTCCGAGTAGAAATCCCATTTGACCACGCCGCCGTCTGCGATAACACGCTCTTGGATGGCCTGGAAGGGGCTGATCACGTACGGCGGGGTCGTGGTCCCAGAACCACCTCCAGAAATGAGCGTACCGTTGAGCACGTTCCCTAGCACGGTTCCAAAGCTAGGGCCGTAGCTGGGATCGGCCCACGGCGTACCGGGAACTGTGGCGTCGTACCCGAAAACGCTGAGGAACTTGGGGCTCTTGAGCGGCAGTGTGCCGTTAACGTTCTTGACAAGCACGGTTCCAGCAGCCCCGATCTCGCGAATGATAGCCTTGTGCCCGTTCTGCACGTCGACGGGTGCGTGCTTCTGGAGGTTGGAGTAGGCGCCCACGGCGGGATAATCTTCGCCATCCTGGCCGACGTAGTACCACGCGGCCAGGATGCGGGTGGTCATGTCCTCGATCCGCTCGCGGGTGACGCTGCCGTTGTTGACGGCCTCGACAAGAGAGGAACCCCAAGAGGCCGTGTTGGGCATGACGAGGTCGAGGCCGGCGTTTGCAGACGCAACGCCGGAATGTTGAGCGTACCCTGTGTCGTGATTAATACCTTGGGCATTAAGAGCGTGGAAGGTAGAGCAATAACTTACAGTCACTAACCACGAAACCTTCGAAGCCAAGCTCTGTCTTTAGGACTCCGTTGAGCAGCTTCGAGTTCTGACAACCATACGAGTTGTTCGCTCTGTTATAACTGCACATGATCGCGGAAGCACCATTGTGGATAGCGTCCATGAAGGGGAAGACATATAGCTCATGAAGAGACCTATCATCAACATTGGAAGAGACGGCCTCGCCCGCCGCGTCGGGGTTGCGGCGGTATTCCTGCTCGTTGAGCAGCCAATGTTTTGCACAGGCGATGGTGCCAGCATCCTGCATACCCTTGGTGATGCCGCCAACGCCAACAGATGCAAGGTAGGGGTCGTTGGAGAGCCCTTCCCAATTGCGCCCGCCACGGGCGATGCGTCCCAGGGGACCGCCGACGGGGCCGAGGCCGACGTTGATGCCCTTGCCGCGGAACTCGGCGCCGAGAGCCAACCCGTAGGCATGAGAGAGGTTGCGATCCCACGTGGCGCCGAGGTGTATGCCCGAGGGGAAGGCGGAGACGAACTCCTGGGCGCGGACGCCGTCAGGCCCATCTTGGAGGCACATAGGCTTGACGCCGAGGCGGGGCACGGAACCGGTGTTGCCTGTGCAGAGACCTGGCCAGCCGTGGGTGAAGTTGGCCAGCTCCTCAACTGTCATCTGGGCGGCGAGTGATTTTGCGCGTTGATAGGCCGAGGCCCACGCGTCGTTGGAGGTTCCATTGCCGACAGCTGCAGGCGTGTTAGTCTACGTCCATGAGTATTATGACTGACAGAGGCCAAAAGGGAGCGAAATACGGAGAGAGAAACTGACGTGACGGATACACCGGAGGGCTCTGTCCATAATAGGGGTCGGCCTCTTTGGCCTGAGCGGCGCAAAGCGTGAGACCCGCAAGGGCCGCAGCCAGCGTGGAGATCAACGTCTTGACCATCTTTTCCGGGCTCGAAGAAGAGAATGAGCATGCGTACTTTCCCTCCTCAGTAGAGGGCCAGGAAACGGCCATTTAAACATTTTGCCACCCTTGACCCCTCAGATACCTCGGAAACAGATACTTCGACAGCCGAGGGACCATCTCGAACACAGCCGCATAACGGCGCACCCAATTCACGCCATTCTCTGTTTTGGTGTTCCCATGACCACGAACACGACAGCGGCCCACCGCCGGAACCCGTCATCCACTGCGAAAGGGCAATAAAATGAGATCATTGAGGGCGCAACGCCGGCCACTTGGGTAAAGCTAGTCAGTTGTAGGCTACGGGGAACCCATGCAGTACGTCGCATCCCAACGGTGCGGGGGACCATGCTGGCGGTTTTTCGGCGGTACTATCGCGGGGAAATCGTGGGGAAACAAAGTCGAACAGGGATGGTTGAGTGTTTGGTCGGGAATTGATCGCACGTCGACTAGCAGAAACGACGTGGATGTGGTCCGGTATGTGGGAGGGTGCGGGGAAATTTGCAATATTGGGCCGGGATAGAGTCCTGCGTTGGGTTGTCATGCCCGAAGACGGGAGAAGTGTTCGGCAATAAGGTTGATGGTTCTTGGCCGAGGTTGGTTTGTCAGTTATGATTCGTTGTTTTGTTTGCTCGCCATCATTGGCAAGAATCAGGGTGACATTCGGGGTGGCTCACCGGTTCCTTGCCATAGACGGTCTAGGTCATACGAGTCGATTGTTTTGGACGGAAGTTGAGGTGATCGATAGCCGACGACTCAGCAACAGTTTCATCAGATCTTGGTCGTATTAGCCATGACGGGTACTATATCAGGAACAGCGTCCTTTGGTTGATACGCAACAAGACTCATGTTACGCCACTGAAGGCTTTCATCTCGAGCTACAGCTTGTCATCATTGCGCCGTATCGTTTGAGCGACTCTTTCCCAGGCAGAATCATAGTGGAAAGGTACCGTTTTCTGTCGAGTCCGGAGATGCTGCGAACATTGAACATGCCTTCTGACATGCTTCATCGTCTTGGCGTCGCATCGAAAGAGGAAATGGCATTCTAGGTGGTCGTCGTCTACTTTGCGGTTCTGTCGATGTCGCCCAGAGCCACTTGTGGAGTTGGAATCGGCAGGTCCGGAGTAGTGTGTGCTTATTTCGACAACGCCCTTCTATTGGGTAGCCAACCATCACGTGCCCCTGCGGAGGCTCTGTTGCTGGGAGCAGGCGAACGTCTGACGACCTATAGAGACATGTTCAAGAATCAAGCTCCTTGTTTGCTGTAGGCTAATTGGCAGTCTATCAGAGCAAGAGGATCCCTTGCAAGACAGCATTGGTGGTCACCGGGCTGTCTTATGGCAAATGCCGGAAGCTTGTTCTAGCCTGAAGGTCAAGCATATGTGGCCCAGTAAAGGCGTTCGCAATGTCGAATCATCGTAGTAAAATTACTGGTTTGTCACATGGAGAAGCCACAGGTAGCAATCCGACTATGGTTGACGTGCAGCATCAACACTACTTGCAATGCTTTCCCGACCACACTCTCGGCCTATGTAGCAGCTCAGCGAGGCAATATCCCTGACGACAAGATCCGCGGACTTCGAGCTGCCTCCTGCCTCGGGTCAAAAGCGTCCCAGTCAGGGAGGCTAAGGAGCAGCCGGATATGGAGATAACAATGGGTGGAACCTTGTTTGTGGCTGGTCAGACAAGGCATGTTTGGTGGCTGCCAGAGGTTATCATGCATCGGCTAGATCCATCATTCGTGACTCCATGTGCCAGGGATTGTAGGGTATTACGAAGCTCGAAGCTCCTGGCTGCTGACGACGTAAGGCTAGGCTTCGTCGGTTCACGGAACCGGAGTCGGCGCGTAGTGCATGTCAGACGGTGTCTGGTTTCATCGCATGTTGAATAAAGGAATGTTTCAGTTGATTGATCGCCCCGGCGGGTCCAGCCCCATTCTCTGGCGGTTCCAGTGCAGAACATGTTGATGGTGGGGATGAACTTATCCTAAACTGATCCAGAACTGTTTGAGACAGCGACGTCAGTTGTCTAGGTGTGCGATGTATGCGTGATGGAGGGGGGAAAGGCAGAGAGAGAAAAGTTGTAAGATAGGTGTGTGTATGTAAGGTGATGATGCCATCGGGAAGGAGAGCTTCTGGTCGATGAGGTACGATTAGGTAATTACTCTGTACGTTACAAGGCGATCCCTCTTGACCGCACAGGTACACAACCATCAACCATGTACAGTGCATACATATCCGTACTGCTACTAGAGAAATGACACAAGCTACGGGGGAGCTCCCAGGGCTGTGGACCCACCCATGTCGCGTCATCCAATCAAACATCACAAAACCTCGCTTGTCCAGGGGAAGGTCTCCACCTGGCCCTGCGTGACATAAGGTTGCACTGCTGCGAACGGCCAGAGCAGGGCAGAGCAGAGATTCACTCACTGGGCAGGCTGCTATCGCCCTGAGCCGATAAGGATAACACATCTGACCGAGTGAGCAAGCAAATGAGCTCCAACCTTATCGCGACATCATCTACCTACCTACACTACGCCACACTATCCAGGTACCTTACCTACACCATCACCCCGTCCATCCCATTACTCACCACCTCGTCTCTTCCTTCTTCCTCAACTGCAACTATCGCTTCATCTTCTCTTCTCATCCAACACCTCCATTCCATTTCGTCTGTTCCTAGTATCGCACCTAGTCTGTTTCCCCTTCCCTTTCAAATATGCATCGCTTCAATTCTTGACCTTTGCCTGTCGTGAACCACTTTCAGCATGGCTAATTCCCCATCGCACCGGAGCCCAGCCTCGTCCACCTCGGCCGGCCGAGACTCCGGCTCCCTTTCACATTCCAGAGACCGCCGTGATGTCCCATCCGCCACATCCGCCGACGCCCTCGTCGACCCTGTGCCGGTTGAGACATTGGTGGAACACCTGCTCGCCGCCAAACGCTCCTTATCGTCCATAACCGCCGTCCTTCGCGCCAACGAGATAGCCACCGATGCCCGCCAAGCCCATGAGGAGGCTGTCGTCCTCTACGCCGAGACTCGGTTCCTGCAGCGCGCCATATCGGATCAGCTGGCCCTGCTGATCAAAGTCCGTCGTGGCCTTAAGAGGACCTACGATGCCGGCAAGCGCGACTTCAAAAACTTGGTCAAGACCATGGATGCCACCAACGAGAAGCTCCAGGACACCATGGCCATGCTCAAGAACACCACGGTTGAGCCCGTCTTCCGCCCACCTGGCGAGGGTCGACGCAACCTGATGGACTTTGTGGACGAGAAGAGCGTTCACGTCATGGTCGAGGCTCTGAAGCAGAGCCTTGGCGAGCTGCAGGTATGCATTCCTCGTGTTGTTACTACCCCTATCCGTGCTCGCAATCCAGCTGACACCGCAACTCCAAAGTCCATCCAGACATCCTTCGACGGCGATCTTCTGCGATTTGACGACGACCTTCGGCTTCTCAAAAAGACCATCGCAGTGTCACCACTGCCTCGCGCACCTTCCGACCCTTCTGCCTACGACCCCATCCCCGAGTACCTCGCCTCCCTTGTTGATCACTCACACAGTATGGCACAACTCTTGACGTCCTTGACGAAGCACTTTGACCTTTGCGTCACGGCCGTACGCACGACGGAAGGTGGCGCCGCCCTCGCCCGTCGAAGAGCCGCCGAGGCAACGCAATCGCAAGGCGGCGATAGTGTGTCAATATCCGGTGTGATTGCAGACCAAGAGTCACACATGCCTGATCTTGATCCAATAACTTCACAGGACCGCGCAGACATGCTGGAGATTGTCGTCAGCGATGCCTCCGAGGTTGACAGCGTTATGCAGGAACTCAATGAGCGACTGCAGGCCATGGAGGAAGAGTTTGCCGCCATGACGCAGCAGACGGAACAGGTCAAGGCGGCATTCCTCGGGACGCTAGACTCATTTACTGCCCTGGAAGATATGGGCAGTCGCATGGCCAGCTACATCGCTAGCGAGGCGGAATTCCTGCAGCGGTGGGAGGACGAGCGCTACACCATCTACAACAAGCTCGGGGAGATGGACGACCTCCGAGACTTTTACGAAAAGTACTCAAACGCCTACGACAACCTGATCCTCGAGGTCGAGCGGCGCCGCATGGTGGAGGATAAAATCTCCACCATTTGGAAGAAGGCCAAGGACAGCGTCGACAAATTGATAGAGAACGACCGGCGGGAGCGTGAGGGCTTCCGCCAAGACATTGGCGAATACATTCCGACAGACCTGTGGCCCGGCATGGATGGCGGAATGAAGCGGTGGGAGCTTGTCTCAGTCGATGACGGCGCCGCCGAAGACGATGCGAGCGGCGGCCAGAGAAGCACACCGGCTCTCGACAGGAGCGTTGTGGACGCTGCCAGGGATAGATTGGACCGGAGCCAGCAGCCGTAGCGGCGTTATACCTGGTTATGCTTTGTAGCTCGGTCATTACGATCAGAAAGCTAGGGGTTTGTTGATTTTGTTTTTGGGGGATTCATCTATTGGAGTTCAAGGACTGAGCAAAGACAGGGAAGACCTTCAGCAAGGCGTGGGACACGGTTCGGACGACGGCAGCGTCTTTTTCCAATTTGGATTTGGTTGGCCATTTTCATTTCCTTCTGTGTCTTGTATTAAATTGGTACATTCTCATTTCTATCGTCAAGGTCAAGGATACTCGCAACTTATCGTCAGATTGTTACTCCCCACTGTACACACAATGCACCCGGAAATCGACTGCGTGGAGGTTTCGCATTTATTTAATATTTTAGGTTCGCCCGTGCTACTCGTCTTCTACCCGGGCAGCAAACCGCCTATCCCCTTTCCACCAGCATTTCGCTTCATTCTGGGTCGGAGTACCGCCCAGTTCGACCCTCTCTTCCTCACTGACCGCGTAGACCGTCTCCGTCACCCCAGCCTCGATAGGTACGGCCTGCTGATGAACCGGCGCCGAGCCTTTGCTGCCGTTCAGGCTCTGTGCTTCAGCTCCGCGCTCGATCAGGAAGTCTCGGACCTTTCTGTGGCCCTTGGCAACGGCGAGATTCATGGGCGTTTCCCCTCTGCCGTCCCGCGCGTCCACTACGGCGCCGTGCCGCAGCAGCGCCTCGACGACCCCGACGTGCCCAGCTTGCGCCGCGATGTGCATCGCCGTCCTCTTTCGCCTGGCGACGACGGCGTGTATATCGGCCCCGCTTCGCAGCAAGAGGTCGGCGACCTCCTCGTACCCTTTGAAGACTGCCACGTGCAGAGCCGTCCATCCCCGATGGTCGCGGGCGTCGACGGACGCGCCATGGTCAAGGAGCATGCCGACGACGGCGAGGTTACCCCAAGACGCCGCCTGGTGTAGCGGCGACCGCCTCTCGTCGTCCACTGCGAGCAAGAGTGCCTCCCTGGCTTCCCCAGCGTTCTGGACTAGGGCCCGGCAGGCCTCTACATGCTCGCCTTGGATGGCGCAGTGGAGAGCCGTGCGTCGCTTTGAATCGACGCGTCGTAGGTCCGCGCCGTGCTCCAGCAGCACTCCGATGACGGCGCTGCTGCTGTTCTCTTCCATCGCGGCGACGTGGAGCGGTGTTTGTCCGTGCTGGTCCGCGGCGTGGACGAGGTAGTCGCCGTCTTTCCGGAGCAGCATCTGGCAGACTTCCACGTCGCCGCTCGCCGCGGCGCAGTGCAGTGGCGTGCGGTTCCGGGAATCCAGCCGCCTCGGGTCCGCTCCGTTCTCGAGGAGCAGCCAGACGACCGGACCGCGCCCGGCCGAGGCGGCGAGGTGCAGCGGCGTCTGGCCGTGGTCCCCCTTGGCCCGGGCGTTCACGTCGGCTCCGCTCTCCAGCAGCAGCCACAGGAGACTCTTCGAGGCCTTGCCACCGCCACCGCCGTCTCCCGGGCCGCAGCAGTCCCTCACCGCCGCGTGGAGCGGCTGGTCGCCCTGGTTGTCCGTCCTGTTGACGTCCGCCCGTGCCTGGATCAGCAGCCATGCGGTGGTCGCGCGGCGGTAACGCATCGCCCACCGCAGGGCCGTGAGGCCGTCGGCGTCCGCGGCGTCAGGGTCCGCCCGGCGCTTGACGAGAAACCGCACCATGTCGTCCTGGCCCTCCTGCGCCGCCCACTTGAGCAGCGTCCAGCCGTCGCGCCCCGTGGCCCCGACGGAGGCCCCGCTGTGGACGAGAGCCTTGATGATGGGCTTGTAGCCCTCGTGCGCCGCCCACCGCAGCGCCGTGTAGCCGTCCCGGTCGGCCGCGTCCGCGGCTGCCCCGGCACCCAGAAGCGCCTCCACCGTCCTCAGCTGCCCGTACCGCGCCGCCCACCGCAGGCAGGTGTAGCCCTCGGCGTCCTCGAGCTCGAGGTTGAGGCCGCTGGCGGCCAGGATCGCGTCCACCAGCGCTCCGTCGCCGCCGCCCATGATGGCCTTGTGCAGGGCCGTCCGCCTGTCGGCGTTGGGGACGTTGAGCTCGGCGCCCTCGCGGACGAGGAACTCGGCGAAGGTCCGGCGTCCGTGGGTCGCCGCCCAGTGCAGCGGCGTCTCGCCGCGCCGCGTCTGCGCGTTGAGGTTGATGTCCCTGCCGTTGGCGATGGCCTTGCGGACCAGCTTCTCGAGGCCGAAGAAGGCGGCGACGTGCACGCCCGACACGTTGGCCTCGTGCGCGACCCGGGGGTCGGTCATGGCGCGCACCGCGGCGTCGAGCCGGGGCCTGTCCGAGACGAAGCGCCAGGCCAGCTTGTACAGGTCTCCCCCCTTGGGCCCCGTCGCCTTGTCCAGGTGAACGCCCCAGAAATTGGCGGCGTAGCCGTAGAGGGGGTACTCTCGGCAAATATCGTCCGTACGCGGCTCGGTCAGCCTCTCGGTGCTGACGGGTAGCCCCGCGAGACAGTACAGGCAGGTTCTCGTCAGCAGCGACGGCGACATTGAGTCTTCGTCCGGGAACACGGCCGCCTGGTTCTTCTTTATGTATTCTCCGGCGGTCCCGTGGGTCAGACGGACGATCCTCTTGTTGTCCGCGTCGGCGAGGACGACCACGATGCCGACGCATGCTGATATAAGCGCGTCTTCGATGCCGGCGATATCCGAGGCCCTGGGTAGTTGCCACGCCGGAGACCTGGACTCCTCGGCGCCGTTGTGGATGGCCAAGGCATGCGTCAGCTCGTCGACAGAGAGCTCCCTCTCCGAATTCACCAGCCAGTTGAGCGCCTTCAGCGCCAACTCCCTCCGGGGCCTGTCCTGATTCTTGATCCGACCCAAGGCCGTCGCGTATACGGCATCCGGACTTGTGGACAGCTGGGCCAATCCGCTCTTGAACCCGGCCAGGCTGTGAGTGGAAGCCAGAGATTTGATGTGTAAATGCGCGAGGAGGAACCTGAATCGGGGGGAAGCGGGTGGGGGGTTCGACGGTCAGCAGGAGTGTGCGATAAAGAAAGGGTACGCGCGACGGGGAACACTTGCATTCCGTGGGACTTGTCCGTGATGGTCGCCAAAGCCTTGGCCCTGAATGACGGGTCCGCTTTGCACCCCTTCTCAACTATCCCGTTCAGCTGGGGGCGGCTTTCGATGAAGCTGTGGAGGTATGCACTGATATCGTCGTTGTGGGCGGTGATGGGTAGCTCGCAGCCGGGGTCGATCAGGGTCCTGAACTTGCTGACGGGCCGCGACGTGAACAGCAGCTTGAAGCTGTCGGGGAGCTCGCGGCACACGCCCAGGAAGCCGTTGAGGGTGTTGGTTTCCAGGTCGTCGTCGAGGCACTCGTCCAGCGCGTCCACGACGAAGTAAATCGTCTTGAAGCCTTTCGCCTGGGACTTGAGCATCTTGAGGTAGTCGCGCTCGGACGGCGTCTGCTGGGTGCTTCTCCAAGCGCTGTGCGCCTCTTGGACCTTGGCGGATAGGTTTTTCGCGCCGCGCGACAGTTGGAGTATCATGCTACATAGCAGCTTCGTCAGGCAGTGGTCTTGGTGCTGTCTGTGGTCAAAGTAGATGAAGACGCAGGCTATCTCGGGGTTCGACGAGAAGCGAGCCCGGAGGTGGTTTATGACTATGGACCTGGACACGACCTCCGTCAGCCTTTTCTCGATATACGGCAGGTCGTAGAGAGATGATGATGGTCCCCTTACGACAACACAGTCTTGCCCGTGCCCGCTGGAGACGCGTTAGTATCATAAACACAGGATACTGCCTGTCTGGCTTTGCGGCGTGTGCTTACGAATCCCGTGACACCACAGCTTCCGCAAGCTGCCGTCGCACCACTGTTCCTTGAACTCTGTGGATTTCAGAAACCAGCGGCCGGCCTTGGGGGTCCTCTGGGCAATCCGGAACGATTCGGCATGGGTCTTTTCGAAATCAAGCGGCTTCGAGACGTGCCTCAGCCACTCTACCGGGTTGGACTTAGGATCGCACTCTTTTTTTTTTAAATCCTCATGTGAACGACTATTCAAAAAACCAAGGGGGGGGTAGAGGGGGGTTATAGATTGAACTAACCGGCCCGCGTTGTGTCATGACCGTAATACACTAAAATATCCTCAGCTCACGCGTCAGCTCTCCGATGATGGCGCCACCCCCTCCTCCCCTCAGCCTTTGTTCTGCAATTTCAAGAAATCCATACCGAAGTTCATTGGCCCGCCCCCCGACTGGTACTTTGTCGTGTCCCCCATGGTGTTCTCCGAGCGTTCACCGGTCGAGACGAGGCCCCGTCCGCTATCGGAGATGTTCTGCGTGACGTTCGTGCCGGACCCGCCGTCGAACTCCGAGTCCGGGAGGGACGGCTCGACCTCGGCGAGGGCCTTGATGGCGCCCTCCAGCTTCTCCATCTGCCCGAGGGACTCGGCGTGCGCCTTGAAGACGTGGTGGATCGCCAGCACCTTCAGCTTGCTCAGTATGTCCCGCATCAGAGCCTCGACCTTGTGCGCCTTGCCGAACGGCACGACCTTCTTCCGGTAGAAGCGGACGAAGACGGACCACTCCCTCGCGCCGCCCTTCTCATTCTGGCGTCCGGGCTCGATCTCGCTAAAGATGTCCTTGATGGTCCTTGCCCGTTTCAGGCACTCGGCGAGGGCGGGCTGGATCGCGCCCTGGACATCCTCGTCGGGCCTGTCGGCGTCGAGGGCCTGCTGCGCGAGGTCGAGCGTCTCCTTGACCAAGGGGAGGTTGCGTCCCACCTCGGCAAAGGCCTTGGGGAGGTCTTTGATGTGCTTGATCGTGTCGTAGGCCGCTATGAGCGACTGAATCACGGTGATGGTCGACGCCGTGATGCTGAGGGGGTCCATCGTCTCCAATGCGGTTGACTTGACGTCCTCTGTGGAGCGCGGTTACCATCAAGAGATGATGTTTTTGAAAGGCCGGGGTTCGACAATGGATGACTTCTCTGGCAATTATGGTAATTGTCCAGAAGCTGAAAGCGACGACGGTAACCCAACGAGACGATGGCCAATTGGGTTCCAATCAGGAGGGTTAAAAGGGACATACATGAACATATAAACGCGATAATATCTCGGGTTGCTCTATGGCGAAGGAGAACGATTCTCCACACGAATGTCGTATCGTACATGAGTGGACAGCAGCTAATGCATATCATCAGCTTGTCTTTCTGCATTTCGGTCAGCAAGGGGCTCTTGACAGGCCGATTAGACTCTCGCTTAATGCCAGAACGACTCTTACTGGTCCGACAGCCTCATTTGGAACCGGTTCACGATGCGCAGCATGCATTGCCTCTCTGTGGGCTGGGCAGACAACTGCTATTGGGATCCACCGCATGCAAGTCTTTTGCGCAGCCATCGGCCCAAGATCAAATGCATCGCCGGATTCCTAGTAACCTCGAGAACCTCTAGATCGTCCCATCGTGGTCCGATACTACCGAAACGACCTGGCTTAATGCCGTAGACGGTGTTTCCTGTAGGCCTTCCCGCAACGCCTAAAACCTCTCACCGCTCTACGAACAATCACCAAACTTTCAAATCTCCTTCACCAAAAAAAAAAAAAACTGTTCTGAGCTTGGTTGCTCGAAAACTCAGATGATGGGTTCCGAAAACGTGGCTGCATTTCGATTGCTGCGCAGCAAAGCTGACATGGTGCCATACATCCTCTAGCGCCGATATCGAATACCCTAAACAGGAAAGCTAGGCCAATTTCTGCATCTCCAGAAGCAGGCTCTGGCTAGGCAGACACTGCGCCCCCCGCAAGGCAACCGAAGGCAGAGGCAGTCCGCGGGAATGTGCTGAGCTGTTGGGAAAGAGTGCAATTGGGAAGCGGGTTGGCAGACTACCCTCCTCTACGCCGTCGGCATCCATTTGGGGGGGGCCGAGGCTCGTATCAGGGAGAGCCGATATGGCAATATGCAACGCCAGCAGGACAAGTGCGGCATGGACGAATGGTTGACGGATTGAGCGCTGACAACGCCGAAGTGCCTTTACCATAGACCGCACATCCGAGTACGAGTAGTACGTTCTCTCTTTCAAAACCCGACAGCGCCCGTCTAGTCCACGTCAGAGAACCGATCCAGTCCATGATCCCATCCAGCTTCTATCTGCTGATGATCCACGGCTTCACAGCTCAACAAATCCTTCACAAGAACCGGCTGTAGGGCTTCGAGCTGCGCAAGAGACACTCTGCGCGAACATGTACCAGACTGCACAATCGCGGCATCACCTTCAACTGGCCGCGCCGACCCCGTACCCTGGCATTATAGAGAGTAGTGACGCGGCACCTCACCAGAGCCTCTTTGCAGACAGCGACAACGGCAGCGATTGGAACGACTCGGACCCCGAGCAGTCCACCCACCGAGACGACAGGGCCAGCACAGGCGGCCGCGTCAAAGTCGATAGCCGCCAGCGTACACCGCTTCCTCGCAGGAAGCTGGTGGTCGTTGAACGTGACACCGACCAAGGCGGCTGGGACGACCGTCAATATCAGCGACGGTCAGGCGGTCAAGCTGTTCCATACGCGCCATACGGCATTCCGAACAAGCTGTTCACTCCAGCGGGAGACCCGTACTTGCAGCCGCAGCCTCCACTCGGTCCCCATCCCCAGGTCCAGTATCACCCACCCCAGAGTGGCTTTTTACCGCCAGGTCAGCAAGACATGGCATACGAAAATCCGTTCGCGCCGCGCGTGATGCCCTGGCACGGCCAGCAGGCTGGGCCGTACGGCAGTAACCCACCGGCTCCCTTATACGAGCCACATCCGACGTGGTATCCAGGGGCTGGGTATGGCAATGTTCCACCGAATCCGGCGCACTTGTCCGCAGTCCCGCCGGAACCGTATCCTTATGTCGACCCAGTGACCGATTACCGTAGGGGCCACGTGCCCATTCAGGACCAGCCTAATCCGTCTCCCGCGTTCGAACCCGCTCCTACCCCCCGACGACGCCGGCGGCCACCGCCGGCGGCCAAGGCCCCCTCGCAAGAGTATGACCTGGACCATCTCCAGCGGCGGCTCAGGGCTGTCGAGATAGACAGCCAGAACGCGGAGGCCCTTCGGCAGGCCGAGAAGGAGCGGGCTCGGGCGGGACGGCAGAAGCGGGAGATGGACCGACTGCGGCAAGACTTCAACGCTAGCATCCGGGACGCGGTCGACGACATCCGCCGGGAGATCCAGATGAGCCAGTCTGAGTCGCACTCGGAGCCTGGCAGAGCGCCGTCGCGGATGGACGGCGGCGCAGGCAAGCGGGCGGGGGGATACGCGGCGCCCGCGCGGGCCGTCTACGGCGATCGGGACGTCTGGGCAGAGAAGGGGGATGGGAGCGGCGGCGGCGATCAGGATGTGCTGATGCAGGAGATTGTGCAGTTCATCGAGGGAAAGAGGAGGCTCCAGCCGCAGGACCATGCACCGGGGGCGGCGTTCCGCACGGGGTCGCAGACGGGTCCCGGATCGGCGCGGGGGTCACGGATGGACCCCGAGTTGCGAAGCGAGGTCGAGTCGATCGTCTACGACATCCTTGGGGGGTCTGACGTGGGGCCGCGGCGGCATCGGCGAGCGTCGTCGCGGTTCCGCGGAGGAGCAGCTTCGGACAGCTTTCACCCCCGCATCGCGGCGCAGGTCGACCCTCGGAACTGGCCCCAAGAGGCGTACGACGGGGGAGTGAACCCTGCGCCGGTGAATCGTCTAGCCGACGAGAGGGAGTGGCTAGGCGTACCGCGTAGAGCGAGGAGACCGCGGCCCCGACAAGAGGACACAGGCGGAGCAGGTGCTCGTCAGACGCAGGGCGCCGGTTCCCACCAACAGCAACCGCCGCCGCCTCAAGCAAACATTTCAAGACACCAGGCTGTCGCAAGCACGTTGAACCCCAGGGCGTGGGGCGCGGGAGGCGGCAGCGGCGGCGGCGAGGAGGAAGCCGTCTCCAGAGCCAGAGCAATGGCTTACCAGAACAGCATCTCCAACAACGGGGTGCGGGGGTCCGGTCACCCGGGCGGGCTTGCGAGCCAGGGCGGCGCGTACGTGGGCGCCGCCGGGCACGAGGACGAATACGCGGCGGGGTCCTTTACGGACGACGAGTCGGACGACCCGGAGGTGTTTCGCAAGCGCGACGCCAGCTACCCCGAGTTCCGAGCGGACCGGGTGCAGCTGCCTCGTGCTCCGAAGCCTCCGCACCTGCAACAAGCCGGGATGTAGCAGCCGTGATTCGGTGTGGGGGGTCAGGAAGGGAACAGTCAAGAGGCTACCGGGCGGGGCGGCGCCGTACTGTAACCATGAAAAAGGAAGAGAGGCATTGCAAAATGGCCAGTTTGCTTTGGTAGTGGTTCGAGTTTCGTCTGGGAGCCTCGACAAGTTTGCGCAGATATGCCACGCCGGGTGCTGAGTCCGGTCGCTACCGGTTTCAGTCGTGCGTATTGAGGAGGGTTCCCGCACCTTCGACGGCCTTAGCATTCTGGGTGTTTGTTCAATGGAGTCCCTGCAAGCCGGGCGGCCCCACAACCTCCAAGACGTGTAAAACATTGTTCAATCTAAGCAGGGCAAAAGAAAGTGGGCGGCTGGGCCCGGTTGGCAGGGTGGTGTTTGGATCTTGATCTTGGCTGAGGTGACTGGTGCCGATATCCGAGAAGTCGAGCTTGCTATGCAGTCGTAGGTACCAGTATGTACAGAGGTGGGTACATTGTGCCTTGTTACTGTGACGTTTCGCGTTGCACTTGCAGGCAGCATCGCCAGCGGGCCTGCGTGCGGTCAGTCTTTGCATTACAGTCGGGTGGTTCTCGGACTGAACTGGACAGGACTGCATAAGGTTCAGTCAGATCGGTTCATCCAGTGTGTACCTAGCGTTGATGGTCGGGCCAGAGAGAGTAAGAGGCGATCTCGAGTATACGGGGAGAATGTGGAGTATCTTAGTAGAGAGAGCATAGGTGGGTATCCGTAGAAGTACGGATACAGGTTACCTAGGTAGGTTGGGACATGCTTGGAGAGCACCTACGTACCACAGCGCGCCTCAGGTCTTACATAAATAAGTCAAGTATTGTGGAAAGGAAGTGGGGAATGGCCGAGGCCAGACGAGCCTTGGCACGTGACTCTCGGCAATTCGACGCGTAGCGTAGCCCCTACGCAGCTGACAGACGCAGCAACCCTGCGGCGATGCCCGGTTCCTGTCTGGACCTGCCCAATGACGTTACCATGTGCAGCGCACGGGTGGGAGACTAGCCGGGTTGGCATTTACACTTGTGCCGGATTCAAGATGCCTACAAAATAGATTAGGTACCTACCTACCCTAATCAAAGACGTAGGTAAGGTAAAGAAAGGCTAGGTACCTGATGTAGATAGTTTGGGTGCTAGCTCAGGGCCAACAGCCAATAGGGAAAGAGAGAGACGGATAGAGAGACGCGCCGGAGCTGGTACAGCAGGTCTCAACATGCAGACCGCACCGACTGGCTTGTGCCCCCGGACCACAGAGCCCAGACCAGGAGGGAACCAAAGAGGGAAGGGACGAATGAGGGAAGGGCGCCTGCTCCCGTCATTAGTTTAATTATTTATGAAATGGCGCCGCCGTCATCGTCATGGAATAAAAGCGAACCGCCAATTCCACCCCTGCGCCATCCATCGTGACTAAACCAGGACCTCTCTTCTTTCTCCATATCATCTCTAATCTATATTGGTTTTCCAGGCCCAGGGCTTTTCCTTCTTCCTCCATTAGCCTCGCCGTCGTCGACCCCCTCTCCCCCAGATAATGTCGCAACAATACGGCCAGTCGGCCGGCTACTACGGCGGTGGCCCGCCTCCCCAGCAGCAGCCTCTCGATCCCAAGAATGACCAACAATATAACAACTACCAACAGGGCTATCCTCAGCCGCCGCCCCAGGGATACGACAACGGCAGCAATGGCTACGGGTACAATGCGCCGCCCCAGGGCTATGATCCCGAGAAGTACACATTCGAGCAGGCCTTCAAGGTCGACAAGCCCAAATACAACGATCTCTGGGCTGCTATTCTGGTGCGCTGCTTCCCTCTGTGTCGCGACGACGGTACCCCGACGACGCCAACCCGTGCGACGAACGATGCTAACCCGACCCCAGTTCATCGCAGTCTTCCTTGGCTTCGCCGCCGTCTCGGGCCTGACGATCTCGGGCTACTCCGCGACCAAGAACCTCAACGGCGGCGGCATCTACGACGGCGCCAACACCTTCGGCCTCAGCACAAACACCATCGTCCTCTTCGCCTTCGTCCTCGTCGTCGCCATCGTACTGAGCTATGCCTACGTCTGGATCGCCCGCCTGTTCCCCAAGGCCTTTATCTGGGTCACTGGCATCCTCAACATCGTCTTCGCCTTCGTAACCGCAATCTACATGCTCTCGCGCCGCTACTACTCGGGCGGTATCGTCTTCCTCATCTTTGGCGTCTTTCTCGTCTTCGCCTTCATCAGCTGGATTCCTCGCATCCCCTTCTCCGCCCTCATGCTCAAGACCGCCATCAAGGTCTCCAAGAAGTACGGCCATGTCTACCTCGTCTCCTTCGTCGGTGGCATCCTGGCCGCCGCCCTCGCCGCCTGGTACTCCGTCACTCTCGTCGCCACCTACTCAAAGTACCAGCCCTCGCAGAGCAACCCGCAGTGCAGGACCGGACAGTGTAGCCAGGGCAAGGTCATCGGCCTCATCGTCTTCATCACCTTTGCCATGTACTGGATCTCCGAGGTCCTCAAAAACGTCATCCACGTCACCATCTCGGGCGTCTACGGCTCCTGGTACTTCTGCGTCAACAACTTTCCCAAGGGCGCCACCCGCGGCGCCCTCAAGCGCTCCCTGACCCACAGCTTCGGCTCCATCAGCTTCGGCAGCCTGATCGTCGCCATCATCAACCTCCTGCGCCAGCTCTGCTCCGTCGCCCGCAACCAGGCTGCCGGAGATGGCAACATTGTCGGCTACGTCCTCTTCTGCATCCTGGGCTGCCTCATCTCCCTGCTGGATTGGGCCGTCAGCTTCCTCAACAGATACGCCTTCTCCCACATTGCCCTTTACGGTAAGGCCTACATCCCTGCCGCCAAGGACACCTGGAAGATGATCAAGGACCGTGGCATCGATGCTCTTGTTAACGTGAGTAATCCCTGTCTCCTCCCCCGCCCCCCCCCTCCGTGTCGACAGACTCGGTAGCTGACCGTTGTACAGGAATGCCTCATCGGTCCCGTCCTCTCGTTCGGTGCCACCTTCGTCGGCTACGCCTGCGCCTTACTTGCCTACCTCTACATGGTCTTCACCCACCCCGCCTACAACCAGAGCGGCAACTACACGCCCATCGTCGTCGCGTTTTCCTTCCTCATCGGCCTTCAGATTGCCAACGTCTTCACGACGCCCATCTCCAGCGGCATCGATACTATCTTTGTTGCCACGGCTTGGGACCCCCAGGTGTTGATGCGCGACCACCCCCAGCTCTACGACGAGATGGTGCGCGTGTATCCCCACGTCCAGCAGGCCATCCACGCCTAAAGGTCTGGCCGGGTGTGATTGGTGTTGTCCAAGGTTGCTATTGGGACGTGTCCCGAGCAACGGCGTACGAGATTGTATACCCCAAGGCGCGTTTGATTCTAGGTAGTACACCGCACTAATGTAATTATGTATATTACATGCACAGTCTGAGACTGCGTGTGTAACGAGTGAGTGAAATTAAAACGACAGCAACAGTGCCTTGCTTAGAGGACAAAATGAGCCCAAGTGTGGCATTTGAGTCGAGCAAAACGAACTAAAAGTCACGACGACAAACGAAACAAAACAAACAAAACAAAAGAATTGACCAGCCTGGGGGTCGAACCCAGAATCTCCTGATTTGCACAACCTCTGATCCCTGACTTGAGATCTTGAGAGAGTCGTAGTCAGACGCCTTGCCATTGGGCCAACCGGCCGGGTTGGAGCGAGTTCTGGATGTGGAACCGCTTCTGGAGGAGAGGAGGAAAACTAGCGCCCAAGAATGGTTCGGACTACGGGATGGGCGGGATTCATGGAGGGCCTTGCCCGGATCGCATCGAGACGAGATTTCTTTTTGCAGAGTTTTCATGATGGGCTTTGCGGGTCGTGTGTTAGGGGTAATCCCGGGGGGCGGATGACCGGGTCGGGGACGAGCACGGGCCCGCCGGTGTGAGGGGGGGGGACGCCCCGAAGGTTCGCCGAGGAGGTCCGCCCATTTGGCGGGTAGAGAAGGGCGGGTTTCCGGGCGTGTTCCCGAACGGTGCAGTCCGGGAGAACTACCTTTGAGGCGCCCGTCGGTGGAATTACTGCGACGGCGTTCATGGGCCATTCAATACAGCAAGAACCAAAGACACTCGTTAGCCACATCGCCTCGGCCGACAGGACGCAAGCAGCGTATACCAAGGTCCAAAACTCAGTCACTTTTAGTCTATTCTGTTGATTACAATATAATAAAACACACTGTTGCCACAATGCTCGCTGGCTGAAGTCGAACTCGAAACTGAAGACAGCCGCCCAGGTTGCCACCTCCCGGCATCTCCGCATACATACATACACAAACACACACACACACACACACACACACTGCCTCACCTCGGGATCCAGAGGCCCCCGTTCCCAAACGCCCGGTCCCTCAACGCGGCCCCCTCGGTCCTGACCCCCGCCAGGTGCAGCGGCACCCGGTCGACCTGCTTCTGCACGCGGTCCCTCGCCTCGACGTACCGGTCCGCCAGGCTCATCTCGCTCCGCGCCGCCCGCAGCCTCTCCCGCGTCTCCTCGGGCCCCCAGTTCTCGCGGCTCAGGCTGGCCACCGCGAGCAGCACGTCGGCGCCGTAGGCCGCCAGCGCGCCGTCCGACCCGTCCGCCGGCGGCGCCGACGCCCGCAGCTGGCCCATGACGAGCACCTTGAGCCTCGCGCCGAGGAACTGCGCCCCGCCGAACTCGTGGATCAGGTGCACCGTCGCCACGTTCTTGGCCGCCACCCGCGGCGTCGCGTACGGCGCCGGGCCGACCGTCACGATGCTCTCGTGCCACTCGGCCGACACCGCCGTCGCCATCGCCTCGGGCAGGACGACGCGCGCCCAGCCGAAGTAGACGCCCCGCATGCGCACCCTGACGTCCTCGGGCACGTCAGTCAGGTTGGCCGTCGGCACGCCGAGCTCCGCCCCGCCGCGGCCGGTTCCCCGCGCGACCCTCCCGTCGAACCTGATCGGGAACGGCTCGCTCGGCCCGTCGTCCGAGCCGACGACCTCGGGAGGCGCCTCCTGGAACCCGGCGCCCCCGGCGTCGCCCGACTGCCACGCGTCGTAGCCCGCGCCCCGCGCGGCCGCGTACCGGTCCTCGAAGGCCGCGACGTGCGTCCTGATGCCGGCCTTGTCGATGCCGGCCTTGGCCTGCGCGACGTGCGCGATGTTGGCGGCGTGCGCCGCGTGCTTGGTCACGACCTTTGCCTTGGAGAGGGTCTTGGCGCGCGCCTGCACGACGGCGGCGGCCGGGCCGATGTACTTGTTCACGACGGTCGCCGCGACGACGGAGCCGGCCTTGATGCCGATCTCGAGGGGCATGCTCGCGAGGCTCGCGCCGCGGACGACGCTGGCGTCCGTCGAGGTGCTGGCGACGCGGAACACGGGGCTCGCGCAGAGGACCTTGCGCTTGCTGCTGCCGTCGCTGCCGCCGGAGCCGCCGCCGCCGCCGCCCGAGCAGAGGACGAGGCGGAAGTAGCCGTCGTCGGCGGCGGCGGGGATGCGGACGACGTGCGTCTCCCTGGGCGCGTGGGCGGCGAGGTTCCTGGGCGCCTTCCTGAGGAACTTTCTGATGTCGCGCTGGCACCCCCTCTCGTCCGCCTCGGCGAGGTCGGCGGGCGCCGCGCGCGTCGACGGCGTGACGTCGAGCCACGACGTCGTGGCGCCGACGAGCGACTTGAGGTTCATGCCCATGTTGCCCGAGAAGCCCTTCTGCTGGAGCCAGACGGTTCGCGTAGGCGGCAGCGGCGCGTCCGAGAAGACGGTGACGGTGACGGAGGTGGACGGGCCGCGGTACCAGACGAGCGCGCCCGAGTGGCGGAGGATGGAGTAGTGCTTGGTGTACTCGAACGGGTGGCTGACGAGCCCGCCGGCGAAGTATTTCGTCTCCTCGAGCGCGGTCTGCCAGAAGGACTTTTCCGCGGCCTGGGAGTCCTCCGTCGTCGTCGTCGTCGTCGTCGTGGGCGGTTCCGAGGGGGTGTACGTATTTGGTGAGACGGGGGGGCGAGGGCCGGCGAGGGGGAAGGTTTGCGACGTCGGCAGAGGGCCGCCGGAGGAGAAGGACGCGGTGTTCGGTGACGTGGGTGAAGGGGAGGGGCGGTACGCGGCCACGGGAAATGTCTGCGCGGTCGGCGGACCGGGGAAGTGCGGACCGGGACTGGGCGGCGCGAGCGACTGCTTCCCGGAACCAAGCGTCGAGGAGGACGGCTGGAGCTGGTAAGGTGACTTTCCAGGGGGAGCGGTCACGGGGGGCCCGGGGAAGTATCCTTCATAGTCTGAAGGTGCAGGCGTCGGCTGCCCGCCAGGGCCGAAGCTCGATGAAGGCTGCGGCGGCCGGTACGGCAGTATCTCGGGACGCGCGGACTTGGCAGGCTCGGCCGGGTACCCTCCAAACGCCGACGGTGCCGGTGAGGGCAAGGGCGCCGATTGCTCCCCGCGACCGGAAGACGGCGGCCCTTGCGGCCGATACGGCCGATACTCCTGCCGCGGCGACGGCGACGGCGACGGCGCCATCCCGAACCTGGGACTGGGGACAGGGGGCACGACGGCGAGCCGGCCGCGGGAATCGACGCCCGGGTATTCCTCGTAGGCCGGGGGCGGGTCGTGGATGGACGGCGTGGCCGACTGCCGAAGGTTCGGCGTCGACCGGGCGCCGCGGAGGGGCTGGTGGCGTTGGGGAAAGGGGTCGAAATCCGGCGGCGGCGGCGGGCCCGGAGGAGGACCCGGCAGGGGTTTGCGCCTGAAGGTGGCAGCGCCTGGGGCGTACATGACTCTCTCTCTCTCTCTCTCTCTCTGTCTCCCTTTTGCAGGTCTGTCTTCGCCGGGCGCCCTTGTCACGCGGCTCCTATTTGTTGATTTTCTTCTGTAACGGGGCTGGCCTTGTTGCTGTTGTTTACCTGGTTCAGCGGGCGCGCGCAGCACAATGTTCATCAAAGTAGTTTGTCGGAGGGTTAGATAGAAGATCAGAAGAAAACTGTGAAACGATCAGCAATTTTATTGGGTTTTTTCCCCCTTCTCCCAAGAATAGCGAGCCCCCCCCCCCTTCCCTGAAATTACGGGCGACCTGAATCTGGAAGTGTCTCATCACGTGTCGCCAAGCTGGGCGGCTGGGCGTGTTGAGGGGAGTTATGTAGCATCTTTCAAGGGGTCTTGAGGACGTGTGGTATGTAAGCGACATTCCATCGGTGAAAGCTGGCCAAAGCGTTTTTTTTTTTCCTCCCCCCATCATCCGGCAAGACCAAAATAACATTGGCGATAAAGGGTATTGCGAACAACATCAACAGAGTTTGTATATTCTGCACAGAGTCGGGAAGACATTGGGGAGGTTTCTGTTCACCTGGATTCTAGGTTCACACTTTAACCAACAGAGGATGCAACCGAGAGTTTCCAACTCAGTCAGCCCGCCCCTCGAGAAGCCCGGCATTTCACAAGCCGACGGTTCTCGCTGACTGCGCCGCCCAATCACCGCCGGCGGAATTGTCACTGATGCGCGCACGCAGTATTCCATCTTGCGAAACCGGTAGAGCACGGCCATCGAAGCCACATCGTGAGGGGTGTGGAAAAGATGAGGAACAAATCAGCGAGTCGCTGAAAAGACAGAGCAAAGCAGGCCAAGACAACAGTGACACCGCAGCTGGCATCCAGTCTGGAAGTGAGTATATATATATATATATATATGTGTGTGTGTGTGTGTATAAAATTCAAGATGCTTTTCACTCGCACGAGGCGCGCGTGAGGTCGAATCAAGGCATCCCTCAACCGCCCAGAATTACATTACAAACACCTATAAACCAATAGGATCCCCCCCGTCACGTCATATGCGTAGAGCTTCCAACAGTAGCAGCGTCTCCCGCCAATCGAGGTCGACATCTTTGGTCCCGTTTCCCCCAGCTCACACCTTTTCGCCATGCCTCACCTCCCCCACCGCATCCACAGGACGCACCCGGCGACGAAGGCGAAGCCCATTAGGATCAGGTTCGTCAGCGCCCCCTCCACCCACCGCTTCGTCGCCATCTCCTCCCTTGCCTTCCACCCGCCTCCCGGCCCGATGGCGTTGGCATGCGGGAACGGCGCATCCGGCACCTCCTTCCCCAGGAACTTGCACAGCGGCTCCCACCCCTCGTCCGCCGACCACTCGAGCAGCTGGTCGGGGGGCACCATACCCCGGATCATGTCGCAGTGTTCTGTGTCCCCCCCATCCGGGCCATGGTTAGCATACAGTCCCCGGGCTATCAGAATGAAGAAGAATAATGGGGTGAGACGTAGACAATGACCAAGGAGAAAGAAAAAAGAAGGGGAAAAAACTCACCCCGGTAGATCCACTTCCCGTTCCTCTTGATCGCCCTCGCCATGTCACCGTCCGGCGCGCGGAAGAAGAGCGCCCAGAGGAAGCGATGGTAGACGTGCCACGCCCAGAACGCCTCCCGGTCCAGCAGGCTCGCCACCCAGAAGCTCCAGCTCTCGTTGACGTGCACCAGCGTCTTGACCGCGCTTCGGTGCCACGCGTCCAGGTCCCGCCGCACGTTGAGCACCACCTTGGCCTCCGGGTACGCCCGGATCATCTCCGCCGCGAAGCAGCTCGCCGCCGCGTCCGTCACCGCCACGCAGTGGCCCAGCAGCTCGTCGAACTCGGCCGCCGAGATGCTGCAGTCGCCCGTCTCCCTTTCGCCTTTGTCTGCCTTATCGCCGCCGCCATTCCCGCCGTACCACTTCTTCCGCGCGAGCCTCACCCACCCCGTCGCCGGGATCGGTGGGTCGTCGTAGACTATGTCCCACCCGTGGTACGTGTGGTCGTACCCGAGCGCCAGCAGCGCCTGCTGCAGGGACTCGGTCGCGCTGCGCGGCGGGCCGACGCAGAGCACCTGCATCGGCTTCGTGCGCGTGCGCTTCTGCGGCGGAGGGATGCGGTAGACATGATTCTCGAGGAAGTGCCACCACCAGTGGTTCATGCTCGATATCGGGGACATCATGGCTTTGGCGGTGCGGCGATGCGCGACGGGCGACGGGCGACGGGCGACGGGCGACGGGCCTCTCGGGCGGTGGGAAATTTGGGGGCACTTCCGTCGTGGCGCGGGAGTGAGCTTCTCGGGGCTCCCGATCCGTCTTTCTATTTTTTTTTTTTTTTCCAAAAAGATTTGTCTCCCAGTTGTTGACCTTTGCTCGCCGTTTGAACTTGTCTGTAGGTTCTGCTAGTGACCGAAAGATGAGTTGAGCTGCAGACTGGAAACCACCGAGCGTGCATACGATTGCGTTACAAGTCAAAAACGTGCAACGGCTGTCTGTTAAATATCAAATTGAGGGAACCCGCCTCCTGCCCGATGAACCTCCAAAGCATGTGCCCTGAGACGTTTGGAAACCGTATGCCGTCATGGCGTTGCGAGCTGGCTTGGTCATTCCCAGTAGCCGCAGCAAACAAATGGCATAAAGAATCCCTGCAGACCCCTGAGAAGGACGGGAAACTCGCAAAGCTGGCACTGGCTGTTATGTGGCATATCATCGGACGAGGGGGGAGGCATAAAGGACGGCCTCGGCACAGCGCAGGGCTCGGCCGCGGTGCATCCTCTTCTCCACACCCGCTTAACCAAATGTGAAGGGATGGCGAATGGAAAAGCTTCCCGGCGAGCTTGCTTGAACATGAGGGGCCACTGTACAGACACCTGTTTGAACTGAAAATGCCTTGGATATATGCGATGCGGCCGTTGGCTTCGGCCTCAGCCATGCTTGCAGACCCAGTACCCCGCCTTGCCACTCTCTGCCGTCTCTAACGAACGCCAAAACTTTGTCCACCCCGGGCGGCCGTCGCTCCGCAGGTGCTCAACCTCCTTGACCTCGCCCTTCTGGCTCTCTGCAGTCAGCAGCGCCGTATACAGCGACTGGTAGAACAGAATTTGCTTCTCAACATCTCTGGGCATGGCGTCTATAGGACCCAGCACGAGCGACTGGAGCTCGTCCGCGTCCACCTCACCGAGGGTGGAGATGAGAAGCGTCGTAACGTTCGGTCGCGGCACCGGAACCCGGCGGACAGAGCCCTCAAAAGAGAGGTGCAGTCGCCGCAGGGCAGGGAAGGTGGCCGTGATGCTGCCGACGATGCGCAAATACTGGTCGCGGGGGCTCAAGGCGCGGAGGTCTTTGATCAGAGGCGCACCAGCGGACGGTTGCGGCGCGCTGTCGAGAGACCGGTCGATGAGAGACTCGTCGCGATCCGGTATCCGAAACTCGAGCGACGTGATCCAGTTCAGCTGCGGCGTCGCCATGGCGTACGGAAAGTACATGGCTTCGAGCCTCTGCTCGAACTTGAACGTGTTGCTCGCGTACAAGACCTTGATCGTCTCTTCGTACCTGCGAGACTTGTCAGCTACTGGTCGTCCGATGTTGCCGAAACACGGCAGTTGGTCTCATCTCATGCGACATGGAAAGACTGTCTGTCTGCCTCTGTGTATGGGAGAGAACTCACGCCTGCCGACACGACAGCAGCCAGGGCAAGATACAGAGATACGTCTCTTTGGGGCCGCATGTCTGGAAGAAGCCTCTAGGACACTGATCGGACAGCTTTGACTCGAGACGCCGGTCGTCCGGGCCGCACACGCAGCTCCACCAGTACCACTGCGGCACCACGCTGGCGTCGGCGAAAGGCGGGTCCATGGGCGACACGCCCGGCGAGTGCGGATACCAGGCGGGCACAGGCTGGTGACCTTTCCGCCATCGCACGTCGGGCTGAAGGCTGCGTCGGTACAGTAGGTAGAGATGAAGGATTTTGCGGCCGAAAGCGAGCTGGTAGATGTAGTACCGCAGGTCGGGTGTAAGGACGTCGAAGAAGGGGCTCTGCGAAACGGAATTGCGAGTCTCCACGACCTCGCCGGACGCTGGCGGCGTCCGAATGGTAAGCGAGGTTGTCAGAGAGCCGGTTCTGGTGTCGTCCGCTTTGACCGCTGATGCCGAGGCTGCCTCCGCATCCGGAGCGGTGTGAGCCGCGTTGCGCGGCTTAAGGCGCGACGGCAATTCGTCATCCGGGCTTGGTACTCGGAGTAGTGATTCCGACATGGTTCTTGGGAGGGGCAGCTGTTGGGCGACGCGCTGGGCGGGACGGACTGCGCAGATTGGAGGAAAGGGGACGGGGGGGCAATGCCGGAGTTGCCGGCCAAAAGAGGGAGAGAAACTGTTATGTCTACGGGGGGTTTTAAAGGGGATAAGACGAGTTTGAATGTGTGAGAAATGTCGTTGGAAAAAGAAACCGTTGTGGTAAATGGTTCGTTCTGCAGACAATCAAATTGAGAGGGTAGGCAGGTACTCGCGAATGGAAGTCGGGAGTGACACCGATCGCCGAGTGTCGGCAGCTACGGTACAGTGCGCCTGCCGTGAATTGGTGAGAAGGAGCAGGAGGGTACGTATCTTTTTCAATGGGTAAGCGTGGCAGGTGCGGATTCGGTCTTTCCCTTTGTGCTTGCTTGCGATCAAGGGATTGTTGTTGGCTGTTCTTGCATTTGACGCCGGGATGCTCCTTGAGAGGACAAAGGGTGTGCCTGGCAGCCTGGGTAGGCCTGACAGCTGCTGCCAGCTGGCGCTCTGGGAATTCTACAGTTGCCATTTCCAAATGCCGCTAAGTGAGTGCCCAAGAGCTCAATCAGATCATAGTCCTTAGCTCCTTCCTGAGAGTAACGGGACGCCTTGCATAAGTATTCCTAACAGGGGGATCTGCGTACAGCCATGGGTTGCAAAGTAAGTAAATACGAGGGAGAGCTGCGATCAAGGGCGACAATGTACCCACTCCCTGAACTTGATTGCTGCAATGACCGTATCTGGCTACTTCAATGTCTCGCGGACATTCTTAACGTGCCACACACCCCCTTTTCCCACGATGAAAATCTCGTTCTCGTGGAACGCCAGGTTGACAGGATTGTTGCCGCCTCCGCCAACGCCGATCGAGCCAAGCGTCCACCCGGACTCGGGGTCCAGGACGTCGACCACCTCGCCGCTCGCGCTAAAGATCAAGCCCGAGTTGCTCACGCGCACGCCGTCGTAAATGTACTGCATGGGATGGCTGAGCAGCCACTTGTTTGTCAGTAGCGGGAGACGTGCCGCCGACGAGGAAACCGCAAAGTCGAACGCCCAAAGGTCGCGGTCGCCCAGGGGGTTCCGCCGCGACGGCTTGACCTCGAGGGCGCTCGTGTCTGACAAAAAGAGCGTTTTGCCGTCGGGAGACAGGGACACGCCGTTGGTATTGCCTTCAAGTAGCGCCAGTTCCTTGATACGGAGTGTGGTGCCGTTGACGAAGTAAAGCGCAGGCAGCGTTGGTCGCCCGAAAGGATTCAAGTCCCGGCCCTGCCATGCAATGTTAATAACTGGAGGAACATTTTTTTCAAGGTGTAATCAGGGTACATACCCAACCAGAGTCCGAGTCCGTCAGGTAGTAATTCCCCCCGCGATCCATTTCAATCTCATTGAAGCTCATGAATGGCCGCTCGTAGAAGTTGTTCAGCACAGTTTTGCGCCCCCACGTGGTGGGGTCGATGGTGGCTAGATAGGCCGTCTCATTCGGGCCTCCACCCGTAACGACGTGCAGCTTGCCAATTTGATACACGCAGCCGAGGACGTTGTAGGTGAGCGGGTTGGTGCGGATCTTGGTCAAGTTGTTGGTCCGCACGTCCAGTATGTACTGCCAGTCGTGCGCGCCGTTGCCGCCTTCAGGCGGCGGCCCCCATTCCACAAAAAACAGGAGCGATTGCTCGGGAATATAGCACGCGGCCTCGTGTACCTGGAACGGGAGAACCTGTAACTGCTCGACCGTTGCATTGGGTCCGATAATGTCGAAAAAGCGTTCGTCATAGGCGACAAAGCTCGTTTAGTTAATGTGCTGGTTGCTGGATTAATACACATCATTGCATGTTATTCGACGCACTTTTTCCCACGCCATGTAGGGGTGATGAGTGAAACTAACATGGCGGCGACACCCGAGTCCGAGACTTGGGCCGCGGAAGGCGCGTCGAAGACGGAGCGGTTAGACTGCCCCGGGATCACGGCCAGAAGAGGCTCTTCATTGGAAACCGACGCCCACCGATCCGTATCAAAGCCGGAGGGCACGGCATCGAGCTGACAAAGCGCCGGGCCCACAAGGCCGAGAAGGATATTACTGGCAGCGGATTTGGTAAGCATCCTATGAAGATTAAATAATAACTTTTGGTATACTGCCTGACAGTCTTTTATGAATATAGATTGGAGGTTTCACCAGGCCTTTATATCTACATTTATCCTCACTCAAGAACTAAGAAGCTGGAAAGCCGTGTCATCGGACTCGGTCCGTTATCGGCGCTCTGTCATAGCCTCCACCTCCGCAAATACCGAACCAGTGTTTCCCCGCATTTCTCCAAGACTTCGGACTCCACTCCGTGAATACGGATAATCTCCGAGATCCTCGTTGATGTACTTACTGAATAATGGTCATGACACGGCCGTCTTGGGAGCCAAACGGGCTATCGGAGCTGCCGGGCGAAAAGCGCAGCAGCGAGACAGTGAAAGAGAGCAAGCGAAGAAGTGCAGCGTCAGAATCCAGCAAGGAGCGAGCAACGGCACAAGCAGAGACGGGTCTGGGTACTTGTACTCTATCATGGTTGACCCTTCTCCAGGGTAAAGTCCCCGAGAAGGTCAGCTATATATACCATACGCAGGTGGATAAGCACGTGTCCATGGCATCGTGGCTATGGACCTAACCGTGTTTATGACAAGTTATGTGTCACACAGTGGCATAAGGTCGTATTATACTAGGGCGTCAAGTGAAGCCTTGGAAAATTATAGAGTCATACTTTGAGCTTATATTCTATATACCGCACCGGGTACAGAGAATGATCCGAGGCTGATTGGTCATGGCAATATGTATGGAGTGACTCGGGCGGCGACTCTAGGCTGCCTAGGCGCATCAGGTACATGAGTAAAAGCTATTAGGTTTTTATACAGCCAAGAAGCGGGACGGTCACGGAATGTATACCTCGACCTATTAGCTAAAATGAAAACAAGAAACGCAAACCCTGCAGCAAGACTTCCTGGCGGCTCCTTTACGCAGTCCCATAAACGATATCCGCCTCTCTCGACGCAGGAGTGACCTTCAAACCGCTCAAGGAGGGACCCGTGATATTGGCCTCCACCGTCGTCTGGAACGGAGCCAGAAGCTTGAAGTACCCAGTCCATTCCGACGGCCAGGCAGGCAGAAGGCGGATCTGGGTGTTGTTCTTGGCGAACGTCTGTATGAGCATCTCTTGAAGCCCGATCGCCGCGCTGCCGTAGTGGTTCATGTCCGGGGACCAGTCGTAGTTTGGCCCCTTGAAGGTCGGGAACCGGTACGTGGTGCTGTCCGCAAACCTGTCGATGGTGTTGCTGGCGGCGCGGTCCGTCTGTCCCATGCGAGCGAACCAGATCTGGTCCTGCCTCCAGCCGCTAGAGCCTTGGTTAGCCATCACACTTCCGACCCGACGAGAGAGAGGCGGAGGAGAGCGCTCACTATGTGCCGTTGTAGGTGGCCGACTGGCTGTCGTTGAAGTACGCATTCATGGCGTGGCTCAGGTTGGTTGGCTGGCCAAGGCCGTACTCGCCCCAGGGAAACACCACGTACATCGCCGTGGGCTCATTGTTCTCCGTGAAGGAGTAGTTCGTGGCCGGGGCAATACACACGAGGTCTATTTCCCAGTCAGATCAGGCCGGAACGTTGCTCGTGGTAGGCAATCACTTACCTGGTGAACCGGGGCACGGATGAATCGGCGTTTCCGGCACTCGGCTAAAATAGCTCTCGTAGTACGAGGCGTTTCCTTTGACGAGGCTGGAGTTGATCTGCAAGAGATCGCGAATTGTTTTGCGCAATCCCGACACGGTCGACGCCGGATTCAGGGCCAGCTTGTAAGTCTCGGCCCCCGAAGCTGGGTAGATGATCAATGTGCCGTTCTCTTCCAGCCCGTTCCGCTTCTGGTAGTACTCGTCGAACCACGCGAGCTGATACTCGATGAACGAGATCCAGGGGGCCACGTCGATGCCGCCGTGCATATTCGCCTGCAGCACCATGTCGGCGAACTCGTTTGCCGCGTCGCTGAGCCAGCTTAGCCAGTCATTGAAAAGGACGCCCGGCGGGTAGAGGGAGGTCCGCGTGTTGCCGTCGTACGCGTTGGCATCGTACTCGTACACGTTGGGCAACCCCGTGTTGTCAATCTGCTCCGACGTGAACCCGACGTCAAGGCCGAAGTACAGCTGCCCCAGCTTGCGGCTGGTCGGCGAAATGTTGCTGTAGAAATTAAATTGTTCTGCTTCCGCGTTAAAATTGAATTCGACCTGCTGGCGGTGGAAAATGGGGCCGACTTACGAGCCATGATGTCGAAATCTCCGGTTTTAAGAAGCGGCCAGTATAGAAGCCTCTGGTTCTGGGCCGTGAACGTGCCGCCGGACCATCTTCTGTAGTCAGGCGTGAAGCTCTCCTGGCCGCGTACAAGGATGGGATCAAAAGTGAACAGCCCGCCGTTGAATCTGGTCGGGTACTTGCCCTTGGCATTGCATGCCATCATATACCGGAAGTACTGGTAGTTTTTCCCGACCTGGAAACCCGAGTCCGTCGCCGGGGCATCTGGGTTGATGATGATATAAGACCGGTCCCAAAACGAGTGCCACCATTCAATCGTGTCGGTCTGGCTGGCTGTTGGTATCAGCGAAGCACTGTTGATCAACCCCGAAATCCAATCCTCTACATCCGTCGTCTGCTCCTGTCCTGTAGCGATGTAAAGCTGGAATGATCTAGAAGCAGAAGTCGACGCCAGGTTGTAGGACGTGTAGCTGGTGTTTATGTATTTTCCGGTAGTGATTGAGTCAGGTTGAAGTTGGGGGGACATCATAAAGGTACCGAACTACGTCGACCAGTCAGCGTCATAAGCACAGCTTATATATTAGATTGAATGGTACCGTATTGTTTCTCATTGGATTGAACAGAGACTCGGGCTCAATTGACGATAGATTCTGCTGAACAACCTGGAAGTCAAATAGAGGTGTCTCTCCGTTATGGTGGTAACTTAGTACACCTCCGGACGTATAGCTGATGTTGTCTGGGCGTTGATAGGGAAGCGGAAGTTCCGGGACGCTGTTCAATCCCCATGACGTTTGCTCTGTGGTTGATTCTTAGATGAAATCCAGTAGGTGCGCCAAGGGCGAAAGGAGCGAAGGAAGAACCTACGTTGTTCATCAACGACCATTTGATGGCCCTCCGTGCGCCATGTCTCAAATCCAGCAGTCAGGTTGAGGGGCACTGCGCTTGTAACCTCTGTGTGGATGGCGGACGTGTCCATGTCGACCCAGATCTTAACCTCGGTGGAATCGTCGCCCCTGATGGTCGCATAACCGTCATTGATGTTGAGGCGCTGTTCAAACACGGACGCGTTTGCCGCAAACGGGTTCGGGGTAAACGACAACCGCACGCGACCCAGCTTAAGCAAGGAATTGTTCTCGTCAAACGCACCGCTTTTTGCGATGTAGAAGAGAACCTCACCTGCTCGACCCCATTAGCAACACCATCGGTGACACGATGACCAGTAGCGGCAACCGAGCTTACCCGACTCAACCCACAAGTTCAGTCCAACATCGCCTCCACCGACCGGCATCGAGCCCGAGGCATCGGTGCTCTGCGTTGTCCATACCGTGTCGTAGCTGCGTGGGAGGTGGATTGACTGGGCGCATTGTATCAAGCATGACACTTGATAGCCACGCACAAGACGCTTCAGGAAAGTCGACGCCATGCCGGAGAATAGAGCTTTGGCCACACGCTTGCGAGCGAATGTGCCATTGTGACAAGCCCATCTGGGGTATCCGCAGATCTATTATAGCAGCCCACTGCCCCGCTAACCCCGCGATGAGCAAGGTAGGTACTCAATGCGATCAACTTTTCCGTCTATGTTATCACTGATGCTACCTTCCCTAATCTACTGTAAGTTCAGCGGGGAAGAACTCCGTTTTGCGACAGTGGTCCGAGGAAATTAAGAGTGGAGATGTCTAATAACGTCAGGTGAGCAGCGTCCGCGGGACACTATGCCGATCAGTATGATATTACCGGTACCGTGTTCTGGGGTATGCAATCCTTCGCCGCTGAACCGGGCGTCCTCTGAGACCTGAGAAAGGTATTAAACGGCCCGGGTTTCCCGGCCGCCTCGGAGCTTAGACTACTGATTGCCGACATTGCCGGTTTGTCCGGGTTAGAGGTTGCTAATTTCTTGCTATGCCTGCATATCTCTGCTATTTCCACTATCTCCGCTGTCATTGTTTGTCAATCAATTCTTTTATCCTGGCATCAGAACTATTGATGCTCGAGTAAGGGGCTGCAGCGATTCTGTTCCTTGTCAACTTAACCGCGGCCAATTTGCTGCCTATATTTATATCATAACAGAAGCAGCTACACCCGATCAATGTCCAAGAACTTGATACGCACGATAAGTGCGATGCGTTGTCCTGTCTGACTGAAAGCGAGCCCTACTCAGTTTTGACCTAGGATGCCGTCTTCCCGAGAAACTCTCCAAGGTACCCTCAATTCTATTGACTGACACACATGCCTCGTTGCCAGAACTGCCATCTTATGGCCTAACTTGTTTGTGAATGAGACAATTGATTCTTTTGTACTTTCGATGTGGCAAAAGCCCAGACTATGTTCTACAGAATTTTCTTGCAAGCTCTCCCGTCATCAAGCCCCCTAGGCCGATGTTTTCCGTAATTATCAGGTCTCCCGACCTCCAAAATTCGCCCAAAGCAAGGAAATGATAATGAAGTCTGCGTTCCGAGTATGTCTTTTCCTTCTCGCCCTCTCAAATACCGGCAGCGATTAGGAAAGCAGCCACGACGCCAGCAGCGCCGCCGGCGTCAAGCTTGGTGCGAAGGGCCGGGCTCTTCGTGACAATGGCGGGGGTGAATGTAGCGGTTATCGCAGAAGGGTCGTCCGGCATGATGAGTGTTTGGAACATGGGCTCGTCAGGAGTCGAGGTGACAACAAGAACGGTGGTGTTAGTTGGAACATTAACCCCTGGAACAGGGTCGTACGGGACCAGGCTGGTAAGGCTGAGTCTGTCCGGAGTTGGTTGCGGAGCCATGACAGGCGTCTCGGCTGGCGGCACAGTGGCCACGGGAGGGTCCAACTGCACGCTGCCGTACGTCTGCAATCCAGATACACTGGCACTCTTCGGCGGTACATGGATGACGACGGTCTGAACGGCAATGGTGCGGCTGGAAGGAGTGACTTTGGTCAGAGTGGCGGGGGGCCTGTCATAGTCCGAGTTGCATGGGATGTTAGAGACCCCATCGCCTGGCGTAACGGTGTGAATAACGACAGTGGACTTGGTGGCCAGCTTCCGTGTGCGAGTGATGGTCGGAAGTTGAATAGTTATGAAGGTGATAGAAGGGGCTGTCTCGGTGGATGCTGGGCCCCCTGGAAGCAATGAAGAGGATGGAAGAAATGTGTTCTCGTTGCATGCCTTGTACACGTTGGCGTAACTGCATCCCTCCGAGTTGGAAAAGCCGCAGAAACCGAACTTGGGGTCACTGGTGCAAGCCTTGCTGCAGAGAGACTCATCAATCAGGGGGAAACTGACCAAACTGCTACCGCAACGGCAGCCGCTATATAACGGATTCTGTGTCAGTGTTCGTGTTCCTCTGACGGGAGGGTAAGGCCTACTCGGGAAAGGCGGCAGCGTAGTTGCGACCAGTGCAAGCAGACTGGCACTCTTCAGGGGTGTAAGCTCTACCAAAGTTGACAAAGGCGTTGAACTTGTCCGACGTGACGCTGACGCAGCCAACGTACTCAAAGCCGTGGATGACGTGGCTGACCTGAGCCGAGACCATGGAGGCCAGCAGCAGGGTAATGACGAGGATCGACATTGTGCTTGTAAATGTAAGGAGGGAACGAGAGTTTATCTGGGTGGCTTGATCTCTGGAGACGACAATTCTTGATAACGGGAGCGAGTGACGATGGATTCCAGGACGTTATAAGAAACGGCCTGTTGATGAGGAGTTTCTTCGAGGAGGATGTCGGATGATGGAATGTTCAGGAACAGGAACGGGGACGCATCTTGAGCCGGCGGCAAGAAGAATAGTGGTGGGCAGAGCGAAAGAAGTCACGGCGGCTGGCCAAAGTGGGAGAAGGAACAACCAGGCAAGACAGGCAGGTGCCCAAGTAGCCTCAGTCCTGCCTTCCTTCGATGAAAGTAGGTAGGTGCCTGCCTGGCACATACCTCTAGGTACATAGGTAGCAAGTGCATTGGAAGTCGTGGGTGGCTGTTCGTGCCTGCTGAGCCTCGGACAGGCCAAGGTCAGGAGCCACCAGCCTCACGGCATCCTCGGTATGAGAAAGGCTAAGAGTAGCGAAGAAGACTCTTTTGGTATTCCGCTGGGTCTACGTCGCTGCAAGATGGGTGAGTGTGACGTTCGAGTCCACGGTCCGTCCTCTTCCAGTCCCCAAATCCAATACCACAGCAGTGATGCAGCAATCGTCAGAGCTCTCCTTGATCATCATTGCGCCCCTTGAAGGGGGGCGATCTAGAGCCAGGATGACGAGCCAACAGCGGTTACGCCCGTGGGCTAAACACTGCATGTCGACCTCGTCTTAGGCCGATCGAATCTTCATCACCCGATTGCACACGTATCATCCGCCTCCAAACCTTTCCTCGCAGGGTATCCTATCATGCAAAGCGAAAGAGAGAGAAAACGGCTTAGTGCTTCTTCCTAGATGAAGCAGACACCAGCTTCTTCTTGACGCTCTTGGGGATCTTCTCCTTGCGCTTTTCACGCTTGGCCTCCTTGACGGCCATTTTGTGTTGCTATGGTTTGTCAGCGGCGGTCTTTCATCATGTTCGTTGTTCGTTCTCACCTTCTTCTCCTCCTTGTCTTCATGCTTACGTCCTCTAGGCCGGGCCTTGTCAAACTTGGACTCATCTTCATCACCGCTGGCCAAGGACGCCCCACTGCCCGACTCGTCCTCGGAAGACTCGCTCTGCTCCTCCTGGTCCTCGCCCTCCTTTACGACGGTGTCGGCTAGAAGGTTCTTGTAGACAAGCTTGTCGCCCTCGCCCTGGCCAATCTTTGCGGCGTCCTTCTCGATGTCGTAGACCTGCTCGAGGGTCTGCGGGATGTACTGCTTTCGAAAGACCTCGTTGTCTACCTCCTGCTCGGCGGCGGCCTCCTCATTGTCGGCAGGTCTGGTCTCGTACAGCTTCTCAAGTGCTTCCCCTAGGGCGGGCTCCTCGACCGGACCCTCGGTCGACGAAACAAAGTCGAAGATGGCACGGTCGCTGAGCGTGTCGACACCCTTCCTCCTGAAGAAGTCTCCGACATTCTTGATATCCATGCGCAGGAACTCCAACGCGCGGGGATGGTCAGGCTCGACACTCTGGGAGACGTCGATGATGTAAAGTTTTTTGTCGTTGTACAGGATGTTGTACTCGCTCAGGTCGGCGTGGACCAAGCGGCAGACCTGGTATATCCGGCGCATGAGACCCAAAAGCTGGACGTACAGGCTCCTCCACTGCTGGTCCACATCGTCTCCAGTCAGATTGGCGTCTCTCAGCCGGGGGTAGGCCCAGCCTTTCTTGTCGCCGAGGAAGCCCATGGCCAGGACGTGCAGCTTCAGGCTGATGGGCTCTGGGCACGGGATGCCAGCGGCATGTATTCTCCTGAGGTTGCGGAACTCCTTCTCGGCCCACAGCTTGACCATTTTCCTGTTGCTGCTTTTGTCGAAACCCTTCTGGAAGCGGTGTTCGCCCGTGATGTAGCGCTCGCGGTCCTTGAAGACCAGAATCGAAGTCTTGTACACCTTGATGGCCCGCTGGATGTTGGGGCCGTCGCCCTCAGGATGCAAGATGGCGTGGTAAACGTTGGCCTCTTTTCCGGTGCTGATGGCGCCGTGGATCTCACTGACGATGCCACGGTTGATCATCTGGAGCAGGATCATGCGCGTGCGCTGGTCCAGCACCTGCTCGCTCGTTGCGCGGTCCGCCTTGTCCTTGCTCTTCTCGTCATTCTCCTTGACGCCATCCAGGCGGATCTTGGCGGCATGCTTGGAAAGGGCAGTGATCTGGTCGTCGACGCTCGCCTTGGTATTTGCGGTCGGCCTCTGGGCATTGGAGCGCGGAAGAGCGGTATCATTGGAGTTGAACATGCGCTGGCGGTTGTAAGACTTGGTCAAGTTGCCGGAGTCGGCGCTCCATTCCTCGTCATCGATATCCTCGTCCTCGCCAAAAATATCCTCGAGATCACCGTCATCCTCGGCTTCATCATCGTGTTGGTCGTGGGCAGAAGCATCGTTGGCCACGGTTCTCAGCTCGACGGGGATAGACTCGGTCTGCTCGTAGCCCTGGTTGGGGCGGTATGTGTAGGGGGGCTCATGGGGAGCAGCGGGAGATTCGTTGGAAGCCATGATGGACGCTGAGTGTTGTCTAACGGACTGTCTTTGACACTTGCGTTCCGTCGTGTGTTGTTGGAGGCTCGATTTTGGTGTTGTTCACCCAAGGAGGACGCTTCTCAACTCGAGGCGTGGATATTGTGCACCCCGCTGCCCCTCCATCGTGGTCGGGCTTTTCGAATTTTTTATCTTATCAGCGGTGGCGGGCGTGGCGGGGTCCTTGGACTCACAACACAGGAGGAAACTGGCTCGTGCGCAATGATGAGTCAACACCTCGGCGAATGGCTGGACTGGTAGGCACTGCACACTGCGCCGAGACCTTGTTCTTGTGGTGAGTCGAAGTGAATCATTGCTGGGAATTGGGGGAGATGAGCAGTAAAGAAGCTCGCTAACGAGAATAAGCGAGCAATCAGTGATGAGTGGGGGCCCCCGCTGCCTTCCAAGATGACCTAAGCAGGCAGTCCAGAGCTCACCGCCGGCTACGACGCTCCCACGCTCCTTGCTTCACTTCTCCAATAGCACAACACGATATTGCCCTGGCCTTGATGGACGCTCCATTCCACTTGGGACCTCTTTCGAAATCGCCGTATGCGTCTGTATGACACGAACACAATACAGAGTGATATCAGCGACAGCCGTGCTACATTGGAGAAATGCTGCCTTTCGAGTGTCGTACCCGAATCCTCTTTGGTGCTCGCTCGCGTCTCCGAGAATAAGGGTGCGGTCTGAACCGACGAGATTCGCCAAAGCCCTGTTCCAGTTCATTGGAGATGACTGCGTCACAGCACCAGCTGGAGAATAGGCTTTTCGTCATCTTTGTTTATGAGCAGCACAAGGGATTTTCACCCCCAAGTCTTGCCCCCGGCCGCCCTCGGACGAGCAGTGTCTGGATACCAACAAGCAGGACTGGAGTTGCAGCGCATGTCTCACCAAGCTGTTGCTGCAAGCGCAGGCCCACCTGAGATGACAAGCTGTCGCCCATGCCGTCTTCCCGCTTTGCCTGCCCGCAACTAGTTGGGATGTCGTTGGTGCTTTGTTCTCCAGGGCGAGTATCAAAGCGTTGTTTTCCCTTCCAGTTTGCCCACCGCAAATTCCCCAAGTAAGCCTGTTTCGTATTTGCGCTTCACATTGCCTAGTCCATAATCACGCTCGAGCGGATCAATAGACAACACCCGTTATCCAACCCGGGCGACTATAATCCCCGAGCGAGAATTAGTACGAGCGCACCGGGTTGGACAGCCGCACTGGGCTGTGTTCGTTCGAATAGCATGATCATCTGACCGGTCCAGGCTTGCCACTGAAGCCTGCTGCGTTATTGATGTCCATTGAGATGGTTCGACTACAGTGGCATCCAACCTCGAAACCGACGGCAAATCATCTGTCACTTCCTTCTCGAAACACCCCAAATCCCAACTGGCGGGCTCGAGATGCGAAAGTGTGGGTTCTGCTCCGGATTTGGAATCGAGAATCAGATAGCTCCATGGGAAAGAGGGATTATAATACTTGGCCACTCGGAGTTAATTTCCTGCGAGGCACGCCGCCAGGACCATCATGCAGATAACCCCTTCGAGGCGCGCTGTCATTCCCAGTTCCTCGGACAGCCGAGGGCCGATAAAGTCTGTCGATCATAATAGCCCGTTCATTGGCCGAGAACAAGCAAGGAACAATGATGTTCTTCGACGACCAGGGCAAGTGTCGTTTCGCTCAGTCTGTGCAGTGGGCCTCAAGCTCTGCCAGAGTCGAACAGAGTTGGGTTGTTTTGTTTCCCAACGGCGCTGGCGACCAATGGTGTTCGTTCGACGGAATCAGCCAACCGTTATCAAGTGGGACGAGCTCATCCCCTCCATCAAAGCAGAAATAACCTCTGTCTCAGGGTCAATAAGTTGGTTACCGATACTTTGACCAGCCTGTGGCTAATGAAACCTGCCGACAGCATGGACCTACGGCTCTATCTCTTAAATGAGCAGATCTTTCTCACCATGTCTTCGTAAAGATTCGGGGGTCAGTAAAATCGGATCGCTCCCCTCTCCTTGATAGCGTAAATTGCCTTGCAACGCTTCGTAATCTCGGCGCCATGGCTCGATGGTCGCAATGGGGATGGATTCTGGTAATCGTCATCGTCCTACTCACGCTCGTTTCGCCTACCGAAGGTCATCATAAGAAGAAATCGAAACAGCCGGAAACTCCTGTACCGGCCCCGGCGCCACCAGTCGTGCCGGTTCCGCCTCCTGCTGCGCCTCCGGCTCCTGCCCCTCAACCTGCTCCTCCGGCACCCCCGCCACCGGCTCCTCCAGCACCAACAGCACCACCGGCACCTCCACCACCACCGCCGCCACCGGCACCATCACAGACGCCTCCTGCCCCCGCACCAGTACCTCCAGCACCACCGCCAGCACCACCGCCAGCACCACCACCAGCACCACCACCAGCACCACCGCCAGCACCACCACCAGCACCACCACCACCACCGAAACCAGAGCCCGAGTTCACTGAAGAGGAAATCAATGATGGGAGGGCGTTGGCGAAGCTGAATATGAGGGCACTGCAGAATGCTCACAAGACGAACGACCCGCAAACACATCTCGGCGACAATAACTACTGCAAAGGCGCATTTATACCGGTGCGCAAGGAATGGTGAGTCGCGTGCCGGCCGTGGGCTGCATTGTTGGAGGAGCCCACAGACCGTTTCTGATACTGACGATTCACAACCTAGGCGCACTCTGCCAGTTCTCCAACGCAGGGAATTCATCGCAGCTGTCCAATGTATGATGAAGCAGCCTGCGTTGTCCGATCCGAAGAGAGTTCCGATGGCGAAATCCCTCTATGACGACTTCGTTGCTGTTCACTACACCAGTTTCAAGAACGTCCAATTCACGGTCAGCCTTTTTGTCCTTTCTTTCTGGAATAGACGGGAAAATATGTGTTGGATTCAGCTGACAAGTACTCTAGGCTTCCTTCTTTGCCTGGTACCGGTACTACCTCGCTAGCTTTGAACAGAGATTGCGTACGCAATGTGGATACCAAGGTAACTAGATATCTCAATACGATTGCGGATAAACCCCAACTTACAACTCAACAGGTACTCTGCCGTATTGGGAATGGGGCCTCGACATCAACAACCCGGCTCTCTCACCAGTTTTCGACGGATCCGAGACGTCATTGGGAAGCGATGGCGAGTTCATTCCCCACGATGGCCTTCAACTGCGCCAGCCTTTCTCAAACAACCTAATCACCCTCAAACCCGGCTCCGGCGGCGGCTGCCTCGCAACAGGCCCGTTCAAGGACATGCGGGTGCATATCGGGCCCGCCGCACTGGCCCAATACGCCACAGATAAACCCTTCAGCGTCCCGAACCCGCTCGAGGACCTTCCGCGGTGTCTCAAGCGCGACCTGAACAAGGACGTTGCCAGCCGCTTCAACTCCTTCCGGAACACGACGCTGCTCATCCTCGAGCAGACGACGATCCAGAACTTCTCGTCCCTGCTCCAGGGCGACGACCGCTTCTTCCCCAACACGCTCGGCGTCCACGGCGGAGGTCACTTCATCATCGGGGGCGACCCCGGCGCAGACATCTCCATCTCGCCCGGCGACCCCGCGTTCTGGCTGCACCAGGCGCAGATCGACAGGGTGTACTGGATATGGCAGAACCTCGACTTCAAGAACCGGCAGGGCGTGTTCGGCACCCTGACGTCGCAGGACAACCCAAAAAGCCCAAACGGCAGCGTCGAGAACTCCATTGATCTGACGCCCATCAACTCGCCGGTCAAGATCAAGAACTTGATGAACACGGCGTCCGGGGCACCGCTGTGTTACGTGTATGAGTAGGCATAAAGTAATGTTGGAAGCGAACTATCATAGATACCCCATGGACGCTTTTTAGAACTTGTGGCGCGTTCTCTACCAAGAGTTCATATTTAGAAATCAGTTTCATTTTCACGAGCATGCATTTGTACTGCCTATACTTGCTGAGAGTAGAGTTGCCCATCATCAAATGGTTTCTGTAATTCTTGCGCGTTTCTCAAGGACTATCTTTGGCTCAGACTACCTACACGGATGTACTTAGTTTATCCTAGTTCCGTATGTCTGGGTCATCTTGTCAGCCGTTCGTCATGACGAGAACCGGTACCCATGGGACCCATGGCAATCAACAGCGGCGACAAATTGGGCGCGGCTCTCTTGTTGAATCCCCTCTTCCCGCATCTCGATTGGTCCCTTGGCTTACATGTCAACTTCCAGGCAAATAGTGCCGACCAACATCGGGAGAGGGGGCCACGTAATGTCGCTCCCGAGGTCTTCCATCCATGCGATTCGGTATAATGGCCATGCCGCAAGAGAGTTTACTGCACCGTAGGATCATCCTGGCTGAGTCCGGCGCGGTGATATATACCCTGCATAGAAATAAATAGGTATACAGTAAAACCAGATGCCTTTGTCGCCCTATTCGAGATCCTCCGAAGAAAGGACTGCGCACGCTGCTTATTCATTCAGTTTCATCAGTAATCAACCCACCATCGATCTGTATTATACCATAGATTTTACTAAATGCTGCATCCGATATGCTCCCTTCCAAGCCTACTGGGTTTTCGGTAGGTGTTAACGGCCGATCTGCCTGTTCGGGCGCCAGCTTGCGTGATGCTTCGGAAAAGGCAGATCGACGATCCCGTTCCGATTGGTGAAGGAGTCTCCTTGCTACCGTCAACTTATTGCCACGCAACCTGTTATAAAGCGCTACGCTGATGGAAGCTAGAGCAGTTTCCGTTGAAGGCATGCCGGTTTTGCTTGAGTGGTGTGCATCTATCCCATCAAGGAGAAATGCCCCTTAGATAAGGATGAGAGCCTCGTGACACTCATCAAGGGATGACAGGATGCGCCCGAGTAACCTTCTCACCTTGTGTATGCATGACGTACATGCCCGCCTTGTCAGTAAGCGTGGGGAGATGCCCATGCATTCCAACCAAACCGAGATAAAGACCGTACAATCAACAACCAACGCCATCCTTTCCAGTCCCTGCAGCACTAGCGCTACGAGTTATTTTCGACATACGGGAATCGCCCAACCGCTTCGACAAGTGCGCCTTGTTCATCGACAACCAACGCCTCTTTTCGAGGCAAGTCGCAGTGCTAAGGACTGACAGCCCCAGATGAGTGAATCAGTTAATTGACCCACTTGGGGGCCGTCCGCTCCGATCGTTGTCGATCACCTTACCAAGGACAACCTAGTGTAGATGCATAGCGGTAGTCAGTACTCCGTATAGTTCTACTGAGATCAGACGGAATCGCCCCTCCCCCCCCCCCCCACCCCCCGTTCGGGACCCCACCGTAGACCTCCCCCTTCATCCCTGGACTGGGTGCCCGGGATGATTGGGCCGGTCAGAGCGCGCCAAACGGCCCTGGCGTTGTGAAACATGTCGATGTCCTCCGCCATCAAGGAGGGCAGAAACCTTCGCATTATGTGTGTGAGATGGGAGATGCATGGGTGATGATGGCGACGTCGGTGCCGATGGCTTTGGTTCATTTAAGGTCTGACGCCTGAAGGCTGTTGTGTCGCAGACAATGCGCCGGGGAAAAGTTTTCGTTTCAGCCGTTCTCGCGTCCCCCAGAAAGAAAACCTTTGGGCTGGGCCTTCATCCTGTAAACCTGTCTCTGGTTTCTTCTTCGTCCCATTGGTGTAATGACGCCGATGATGTTGTCTCAACTTTGGCTCCAACGGCATCCCATCAGAGGCGGTTCGCTGAGACAAACACATATTTCAGCAAATTTAGTTGTTTCTCAACAAAGCTGCGAGCCCACGTTGTTTATTTATTGGCTTTCCGAGAGCTTTCCATTATAATCCAACAAGAAGCTCATTGATCTGATACCGAACGTGGTCCGTACAGCTACCTACTGTGCGATACTTGAGTTTTTTAAAAAAAAAACGGGCAAAAAAAAAAACACACGATCGCCAAGTTTTCCTGCGGGAAATAATATCCATGTGTTATTATTGTTTTGCTCTCGGATCGACGACGTCACTGGACTAAGACAGCCCTGCCTCGTCCCAATCGTGGACCAAGAGCCCGCCCCAGGTTGCTTTTTCTGGTTCGGTAGCGCTGTTCCCTTGGACAACGCAACACACGTCACGTCACCAGTGCGTCGCCGTTTTACATCTCAACCGACTCTAGCTGCAAACGGCTTTTTCGGGTCTGGCGCAAATCGTCGTCCCCCCCCCCCCCTTCCCCATATTTTGCTCTCTTTTACATGTCCTTCCATTCTTCATCCAACAAATTACGCGACCGAGATTTGACCATGTTGTCGTTGCCAGCACCCCGACTGCACTCGGTGAAGACTTCTCGGTCACGACAACAGTCCCCCATCATATATTTACTCGTCGCCGTAGGCCTCTTTTTCTTTGTCCTGCACAACCAATATGGGAACCAAGCCGTTGTCGAGATCGTCGCCGACACCAGCTCACTCGACACCGAGAGCCCTGTTACGTCGACTCCAGCGAAGCCCAAGAGCACAAAGAAGCCAAAGTACAAACCACCGCCAACATGGACTCCGCCTCCGATCACAGATCCTTTCCCACTGCTGTCGTCCGGGATGCCGCCTCCAGTTCCCGCTTGGAACAAGCCTGCGAAGCCCAACGTCTGTTTCAACTACTCCCTGTCCACGCCGCCTCCGTTACTCATTGGTTTCACGCGGAGTTGGCCGTTGCTGCTCCAGACGGTTGTTGGATACATAACGGCCGGGTGGCCGGCGGACCAGATATACGTTGTGGAGAACACGGGGGTGCATGACGCAAACGCCAGAGATCGGCTATCGCTGCAGAACCCCCTTTATCTCAACTACACTCAGCTGCACATGCTGGGCGTCCATGTCATGCGCACGCCGGTTTTGATGAGTTTTGCTCAGCTGCAGAACTACTTCGTCACCGTGGCAAAGGAGAAGCCGTGGTCGTACTACTTCTGGAGTCATATGGATGCGTTTGTTATGTCGTACGAAGAGGGCATGGAGGGAATCTCGGGACCGGTCAACACGCCCGACTACCAGACTATTTACGAACTGGCCGTCAAAGAGCTGAACCACACCATGCGATCCGACCACAAATGGGGAGCCCGGTTCTTCGCCTACGACCACCTGACGCTGGTCAACCCGCGAGCGTACGGGGCCGTCGGCGGCTTCGACACATTCATCCCGTACTATATGACGGACTGTGACATGCATTGGCGACTCGAGGAAGCGGGGTGGAGCGTCAAGGAGTCGCGGGCAGGCATAATCCAAGACGTCGCGTCGGTTCTCGACGACTTGCGCGTTCTGTACCGAGAGGGAGAAATTCCTGAGGGATTCGGCTACACGGACCCAAACCCACCGCCACCGAACGAAGACACGGTCACGAGAAGGAAAAGCAAACGAAGCCTGCCCGTCCCCGAACTCGACATCTCCGGGGCCCCCATCGACCCACCCACGGAGAGCTCCGGGGAGCAGTCTGCGGGGACCGTCGATCCCTTGGTGTCTTTCCGAGCCCTTTACCGCATCGCCCAAGACATGTTCAACCACAAGCACGCGGACCGGGAAAGGAACACCTGGCAACTGGGACAAAGGGGAGGAGACTACGAGCCGTACTTTTACGACCCCCTTGGGTTTCAAGAAGCCATAGACATCATGACCGAGGCAGGTAGAGAAGTCTTTCGTAGAAAATGGGGGCATCGCGATTGCGATTTTGGCGCAGCAGGGTTACAACCCAGCGACGCTTGGAGGGTGGAGAAGGACTGGGAAACATAAAACTCAATCGGCGAGAAGCTCGGCATACAGGGTAATGAGCTGTAATAAGGACAATCTTATTGGCATTCCTCCGCGCGACCAACCAACCATGTCTTGTTTATGTAGTCAGCCATGCGAAAGGGCGATTACTTTCTTACTAATCGCCACCCCTTGGGTCCTACATCGCACCAGGTATGCATTCCATTTGATGACTGCAGCCCCCTACACCGTCCCAGAATGCCATATAACGTTGGAACGAGAGACATGGAAAGATCGAATAGTGCGGTTAGTGCCTTACAGGATCGGAGGAGTAACGTACGTGGGAATTCTACTATGGTACCAGGCCGAAATAAAATACCCTGTTAGGTATCTTACTCTAACACTCACCACTCTACTTATTTCAGTAGCGGGCATTACAGTACTGTTTACTAGCCTAGCCAGCTGGACGGTGTGGCGATATTACATAACTGGGGTATTTTATCTCCCCCTGCCACCCTGTACAAGGACCTTCCTGGCGAACACCTCGGCCGAAGGCCCAGACATGGAAGACTTTTAGTGCGCATTGAATGGGATAATACCAGTAGTTATAGGCCTCGAGTGAGCAGAACTGCAACCTAGAGCAGACAGGTTTTTTTTATTCAATCGGGTACGAGACGCGGTGTATGATAAGCTCCGGGACGCCATCTTCGTTGAAACGAGCTCTTGGTTTTCAGTCTCAGCGGCACCAGGAGTGATGGAGAAGGAAAAGGCAAGGGTCGTGGTATAAGTGAAGATTTCGTTGTTGCTAGGGGGCAGCTTCGTACCAGTGCGCAACCTCCTGGTCAACGCCTATAGAGTTCTTTCTAGCTACCCGCAGCATAGTGAGCGTGTAGCTCTTGACCCTTACAGGCCCAGGGCGGTGTGGAAGCGATAGACTGACTGCCGATTTATCTGTGTTTCCGGAAGTTGACTGGAATCTTGGTACTGCCTGAGATGGAAAATAGTCATGGGAGACATACTTTCGAACAAAGTTGTGAATGCTTAGAGTTGTTGGCTTTGTATAGAAACCTGAAAGTGGGCAAGCTAAACAGCCATGCGGAGACTTTTAACATAGTCCAAGCATTGATCACTGCAACCTTCATTTCGAAATTGTCTCTATATGTTCAGCCCCTCCATCTTTCGCTAATTGCATCGCCTGAACAACTGAGTCGTAGGATTGGCTGCAGCCAGATAATCGCCACCCGAGACCCAACAACCCATAGCATCCACTCCAGTTGGCAAGTGAACTGCCGAAATGGGCTCAGCATATCTCAAAACTGTACCGTTTGAAATCCTTCGATAGATAATTTGATATTTTTTGACGTGTACGGCGAGGATTTTAAAAAGCCTTATGTCTCTTAAAGCTTCCAGGCGATTCCGAGCTACCACTCTTTCAGTAGCACTCCTGCAATATGCGAAGTCGGTAGCTTTACTTGGAGCCAATCGAATATTAGCCCCTATTCAAAAAGAAAACGTCATGAAATTGCACTTTGTATCGCCGCCAAAAACATCGTTCATGTAACCAGTGACAAGGGGCAGAGGATGATTTAAAATCTCCCATTGGTATCCCGCTGGAGACAGGATACTAGATTCTCTGATTTGTGTACAAAAGTCACTGCCGTTATACTGATTCGGGAGGACAAGAGTCTATCACCGAAATGTTTCAACGCATCTCCTATATCCATAGCCGTTTCTACGCATATAAAGGGTGGTTTAGCTCGCATTACAAGCAAAGAATTAACAGCGGCTAGTGAAAGACGCAACCATCAGGGATTTATCTACTGTGTACGCAAACATCAGGACATGAATATTTTCCTCCCACCTATATATCTAACACATAGCCGGTGTGTTTCCATGTTTACAAATCATATGCATTTGGAGTTGAAGTCATTGACTCAAAATGAGAATATTAGTAGCCCGAGCCGAGGTGTATTCAGGACCGATGAAGCCAAATGGAACTTCTCGAATGTCCAGGGAACGCTCTGAAAGTTTAAGACCGTGAAGCCGTTCCTACAGGGGCTCGGGAAACGTCTTCAGTCACGGATTTAAAGCCTCAACGCATCTCTTCTTCACTCGACGTTTCCAACAACGTGCGAGAATGCTGCTGCACCTTGAAGACTCCAGTCCGCGATTCGTGGCGATCAGGACAACTGGGGTTAAATAGCTCACATCTACACTTGGCCTGCATCCTGGCGTCTTGGCAAATCATCACCACTCCGCAACTGTCCAGACGAGAGAGGTCTTGGTTTCTGTGGTCTGCGTGGTTTCTCCCACTCCAATTCCGCGACCTCTACCAGTCTGCCCAACACAAGCCAGTGTGAAGGATGCGGCGATTGATGGAAATCATTCCAGCCAGGAATAGAAGGCTCAACTCGACACAACTAGTGAATGCACAGGTGTAATGGTCTGATTATTCCAAGAAAATAAGAGACCTCGCTCACATACGACCACCCAAGCCAGTGGCGGGAACATTCGGTCATGGTCCAGTGTTACATCGCCGTGAGGGGTGACACTTGGCAGGCGGTGACCAGAGTGACTAGGCCCTGCAGATTCGGCTCAGTACCAGTACAGAGGCAATACGGTAGCTGCCCCAGTCACCAATGACAAGGAGCTGACAGCATTTTTAAGCTTAAACCTTAACGGCAGGTGAGAAGGATTTCGAAGGGCTGCGTGCGAGTTGCGTGCCAGCCCAAGCTCCATGAACGCGACGGCTGGTTAACCCGCCTTCCTCATTTTGTGTGTCTGCATCAAGCGGGGAGCTCGCCAAGACGCTGGCCGGGCTATACAGAAGGAGTTTGCCTGGCCCTGATGCGCCATGAAATACCGCGTCTTGGCTTTACGCAATCTTGGCCCGCGTGCCAATATCGACGAAGTCCGTTTAAGGAAGGTCCCAAGACAAGATGGAGGGAGACCCGAGCTCAGATGCCCATTGGGGTCACCTTCGCTAGTTTATCACCTCATTAACTCTTTGAGCTATCCTAACCGACCGAGCTGACCGTTCGTCTTCTCCCCACGGCGGAGTTATCTTGTCGGCAGTGGCTGGCCTAATCCCTGCCGAATGGTATTTGGCTCTCAATGAGTCTAGCTACCGTGCATGGCAAGGTTGATATCGCACACCCAGCTGGCATGGCCATCGCCAAGGTTGCCCATCCGAAGGCTGCCGCCCATCCATATTGTGCAAGCAGTTGGTCGGGTGGCATCTTACCGTCAGAATGTTCTCTGCGTGGAAGCTCTAGTCCTTATCGAAGCGCAAGGTATTGCAGCCACAATCACACCTACCGTATTCTGCTAAATCGGCCAGTGACACCATTCCGAACGGTGTTCGGGGAAGCAATAACCTGCTGAGCTACTGCAGGGCACCCGGCATGCTATCCAAATCTTTATAAAGGGCGAAGGGTGGTCTTCGAACCGGTCTCGTCCGTCTTCTGCCCTTCAGCCTGCAGCTTCTCTTCAGGTTGGTCCACATATCACAGACGCTGCCGACCATGAAGTTTTTTGCCGGCCTTGCTCTCGTACTGCCGCTGGCGTCTGCCGCGACCATCACCCCTCTGGAGAAGAAGATCACGTACGACGGCTTCAAGGCATTCCGGATCGCCACGCACAACGACCCGGCTTCGATCAAGAAGAAGATTGCCAACATCGCGGCGATCCCCTTCAACCTCGACAACAGCGAGCACCTGGACGTCGCTGTTCCCGCCGAAGACGTCTCAAAGTTCGAGAAGCTCGGCCTCGAGACGTCCGTCCTGCACGAGGACCTCGGCGCCGACATCGCCGAGGAGGGCACTTTTGCTCCCTATGAGAGTGAGTTATCAAAATACGCACCCGGAATCCAAAGGACAGAGTTTCTGATATTTCTCCCACAGGCAATGGCGATGCCAGCGTTCAGGCTCTTCCCAGTCTGACGTGGTTCAACTCGTACCACACGTTTGCCGACCATCAGCAGTTCATCCGTGACCTGCAGTCCAACTTTCCTTCCAACTCGGAGATTATCAACGCTGGCAACTCCTATGGCGGACGCTCGCTCCTCGGCATCCACCTCTGGGGTAGCGGCGGCAAGGGCTCCAAGCCCGCCATCTACTGGCACGGTACCGTTCACGCTCGCGAGTGGATCACTGCTATGGCAAGTCAAACACGTCCCGAACTGTATAGGATTTTGGCGAATGTTGGCTGATACCCAATAGGTTGTTGAGTACCTCACGTATCAACTCATTGATGGCTACCAGAAGAACGACGCTGCCGTCAAGGCTATCCTTGACAAGTACGACTTCTACATTCTGCCCATCGTCAACCCCGATGGTAAGTCTCGTGTAAACTTTTCGCATCGTGGAACGAACCGGGACTAAATACTGCCAGGCTTCGCCTACACCCAGACCAACGACCGTCTCTGGCGCAAGAACCGCCAGCCGCGATCTGGCAGCACCTGCATCGGGACCGACATCAACAGGTACTACTCGCACCCCCTCGACGCGACGTGAAGAAATCCGGCTAATCGTCCGCAGAAACTGGCCCTTCAACTGGCAACTCCCCGGCGGCGCCTCCACCAACTACTGCTCCGAAACCTACAAGGGCCAGGCGGCCGGCGACACTCCCGAGATGGTCGCCCTGAAGGCCTACACCGACAGGCTCGCCGCAAGCCAGGGGATCAAGCTGTACATAGACTGGCACAGCTACGGCCAGTACATCCTGCTGCCCTACGGCTACGACTGCTCCGCCCGCGCCAGTAATCACGCCCGCCAGATGACGCTGGCCACCAACACGGCAAACACCATCGCCCAGTCCTACGGCACCCGCTTCACCTACGGCCCCAGCTGCTCCACCCTGTACGCCACCACTGGGAGCGCCCCCGACTACCTCACCGGCGCCGCCGGCGCCGAGGTGGCCTGGACCATCGAGCTGCGGCCTTCTGGCTCTGGCGGCGGTGGTTTCGTCCTGCCCGCAGCTCAAATCCTACCCAGTGCCATTGAGCAGTGGAACGGAATGAAGTACCTCCTCGCTAACGTTTGATCCACACGAAAAACATGGCGCGGGAGGGAGGGGGAGTAGGGTGTTCCAGAAAGGCTTGGTATATATCGCAGCCCAGTCACTAAAGCTAGACAATTCCCAACTCCACCAGCTTGTGCACATAAAGTCCTTGATGTATGGAATCTGTGCTTGGAGCTACTCCAGGTCATCACTCTCTAGCCGATTTGGTGAGCTGGGTGATTCTCGCTGCTTTAGCTCACCTTACACGAGAACCTGCGTGAGGCCAAGGTAAGGCTCAGGTGAAGCCAAAGCGGTCCACATAGGTCGGAATTGCCAAAAAGAAAAAGACAAACTAGTACTAAAGTAATAGTAAGTAATAGTAGGAGTAGGGGTCCTAGTAGTACATTATATATCAAACTAGACTTTCTCCTTATAGCAAAATCAAGCCACCCCTAACCCTGAGTATTTTTTTTTTTTTTAACGCAGTACAATGAGAATCTGACTATCAACACACGCGTCGATCCGGGCCTACATCTACGGCCGTCCATTTCCATTCCAGGCTATAGGTGGGTAGCGTATGGATCGGGCGCGCAGATGCGAGTAGCTGCGTATCAGGCTTTGCATGTCCTTTGCTACTGTGCCTGCCCTTAACCGAAGGCGGAATCTCGGATGTGACATAAAGTAAGCCGCAAGACCTGCGATTTGGGGAGCCGCAACTGAAGTGCCCTCTGCGGTCATAAGGCCTTCTTTGGTGTTTCTTCTAGCACACTGGACCTGTTCTCCAACCGCCCAAGTCGTTAACAACGGCCCACGCTGGCTAAATTTGGACATACTCCCGTCAACGGCAGCCGAGCCAACCACGATAAGGGGCAGCCGCACGGCTAGCACGGCTGGGAGAGAATTTGGTTCCATAGACCCATTGGGTTTGTCAGCACTATTACCGGCCGCACAGATGACAGGTACATCCATCTCGAAAAGCGATTGCAGTACTTTTTGCAACTCATAAAGTGTGCGCCGCCTGACTTCCTTGTCCTTTACCATTGGAAATGCAACTGAGGACGAAACGACGGCCTTGCCACGAAGACCCTTCCTCATGATATCTTCGCGGACCAATTGCCAAGCCTTGATGAAATGAAATTTGCCAGGTGTAACATCTATGCGGACTGTGACGAGGTTGGCTCGCCTGGCCACGCCAACTGTATTGCCAACGGCCTTTGAAACCACACAGGTTCCGTGAAAGGAGCCGGCATTCACTAGTGATGATCTATCCACTGCGTCGATGTTCTCGCGCGTGATAGAAGAATCCATGGGCTGAAGCTCAGAATGCTCGAAGTCAAACGGGCCGGTATCGATCATGTAAATAGTTATTCCCTCGCCAGCGCTATCGTCATATTCATAGTAATCGAGAAGCGGAGTCTGTGGCGGCGTTGAAAGCATCCGAAGGTCAACCAAAGGCTTGCCGATGTTAGGGCGCCTCTGGACATTGGCTCGTTTTCTGTTGGCGGCTGCAGGACTGTGCCCTTCAAGACGAAGTTGCTCGTCAGGTTCAACTCTATCGACAACGCCGTCCGCTCTGACCTTGCCGAGCTGAGCCGGAGTGAGATCGGCGAGCCAGGCGTAGGGTGTGTTTTGTTCGGTGACGAGGGTTTCAACCTCGCTTTTGTTTCCAACTGTTGCTAAAAGAGTATTGTGGAAACACTCAGCATCTTTTTTCGAGGTGTCTTCCCTGGCCCAGATAATATACTTGGTATCGTCTTTCGTCGTCAGAGTTGCTCGTGTGGCCTTGGTCCATTCGTCTCGGTTTGAAGAGTCGTCGTTGAAGGCCGATGCGTGTAACATTTGGGACAAACATAATGAAACTAATGTAGATAAAATAGTGACGAAGCGAATAGGCGCCATGTTAATGAATAAAGAGGATGTTGACAATAGCAGCTTAGAATCCACCCCCAAAAAAATAAAAAAATATTAATTTATCGAGGCACCCGCGCTCTTCTATATGTATATTAGTAGAGGGCGTCTCACTACACTTTGGAAATTCTTTCTTGACATCTATCCCGCCGGGTTTTTATAATTTTACTATTCTAGTGCCAAGGAAGTCTTGGTTGATTTAAAGCTTAAAAACCATTGTTGATATTGCAGTGGGACCGTAGTTTCTTAAGATTAAATAGGGATTGTTACATTTGTATTACAACTTAGTGGGATGTAAATCTCAGTCTAGGATTAATTAGTTAATAGAGAGGAGTACGGGTATTTGGCCGGGGGCAGAATGGTATTTGGCCGTATCTAACCACTTTCAGCAAGCGAATGAACCGTCACAGCCACACAGTGGGCCTGCCCGCAAAACTCGATGTACCTCGATTTCGCGGTACAAAGGCAGAATAACTCAGCGACCGTCCGCGATTTATGCAAAAAGGCGCGTTTTGTCGGCAAAGTTGCATTTTTGAAGTACGCGAAGTGAAACGTGATGAATTCTCTAGACTATGGCTGATATACCCATTGTAGCGGCTGCTGCTGCTGCTGCTGCTGTTGCTGTGGCTGCTGTTGATAGATGGGTTGCTGCCGCGGCTGTTGCTGCTGATAGATGGGCTGGTGATAGGTAGGCTGAAGAGGTAGTTGATAGGCAAACTGCTGTTGGCTGGGGAATGGCTGAGAGATACGTTTGCTTCTAAACTGCTGCTGGGCAACCTCGAACTCTGCCTGAGCCCGTTGCTGTTGCTGCCGCTGGTCTCGCTCAAGGGCTAATGCCGTAGCAAGCTGGCGCACCTGCTCCTCCAGCCTATTATACTTTGAGGTACGGCTACTGCGGCTGCTTGTTAACGGTGTAGGTGTGGCAGAGGGCCTAGCCCTACGTGGCTGCGACGAAGAGGCTTGTGATGAGGAGGCTGGTGTTTTAATACTTTCCCACGCAGAGGGTATTCGCTGAGTATCACGGAGGTCAACAGGTGGCTCAGAGTTACCGTTGGGTGGCTCTGTTGACTGCGGGTAGTTGCGACGGTTGCGGACTACGTTAGGGTCAACTTTGATGGTCTGGTTCCGTAGGCGGATAAGGTCAGGCTGTAGTTACCACTAAAATTAGTAAAAAAGTAAACTGAGGATGGAAAGTAAGCTCACGTGAGTCTTATCTAGCCACCAGTGGTAGTCAAGGTTATCTTGAGTAAGCACCTCGTCACTATTACAACTTTGAAGACAGCAGAGTAGCTTGTGACAGCAAGGTAAACCCCACTGCTTTTAGAAGTTGCTAGTACACAGAGGAAGGCTCTTGCGTTGCTTAAAGGCCTTGTGGGCAGGTATATACTGCTTATAGAGCAAGTCAAGTGCCCAAAAAGATACCTAAAAGGCAAGGCCTTAAAGTAATAGATACTTCTGTATCTTTGCCCGCTGCCGTTGTCGCTCGGCACCAAATTTATTATGGTATCGTTATAGCCTTTCTTTAACTATCTTGTATATCCTTTTGTAGAGGGTAAAAAGGTTAGCTAGGCGATAGAGAAGGTACAACTTTAGCTTGTAGTAAGTGCTCTTAGTAAGTAAGGTTACTTTAATACTGTAGTTACATAATTTATTAGTTTTAAAGGCAGCGAATTAGGGGTAGAGATAAAGGTAATAAGTTTTGAAGTACTTAATAATTACTAGGGATAGTTAGCAAAAGTTGCAAAACAAAGAACTGACTTACCTTCTTGGTCCTGAAATTGCCGCTTAAGAGAACCCTATGCCTTCTAAAAGGCAGTTGCAGTTGGCGCATAAATAACTGCCCTCCACGCGGCAAGAAGCCCATCAGGGTCGTGACTGTAGATCGCCTTGTTGGTGGTTACAGCGGAGGTAGGTGTATTACTGTTGTTTACTTTAGCCTGGTAATAAACTATAGTTGCAACTTCTCTGCTGTGTATCTCTGCTGAATCCTCTGGCAGGCAGTTCTTGTCCTTGTTGTTATTATTGTCTGTTGCAGCGGCTGGCTTTAGCGCCTTGTTGTAATTAGTAATAATAACAGAGGGTAAAGGTATATTCTTGTTATTAAGCAGCAATTTGATTTGTTGAAGGGCCTAAGTGAAGGTATCTTTGTCTTTGTGTAATACAAGGCAAAAGCATGCGTTAAAAGTGGTATGTACAGCAGTAGTGCCTACTACTTGAAAAAGTGGCATATAAAAGCGGTTAACCTTGGTAGAAAAAGGTTAGCAGTAATAACAGCAATAGTGGTAACAATAATAACAATAACAATAACTTACCTTGTAAGTATTATCTATCATTAATAACCCAGGGTATTGTTGCCATAGCTCAAGGCAGTTCTTGTACGTCCAAAAAACGCCATCAATTTTCCCACTTTGGCTATGATAGACAGCAAAAGAAGGAATCTCTGGGCTCAAGGTTAGGACGTTAATGAACAGCTAGGTTGACGATAACGGCCCATACTTCTTGTTGTGGAGCTTACGTTGAATATTTCTAACGTCTTGGGCAGTTATTACCACCTTTTCCTGCTTACAGAGTTGACTTGCGATATCCCTCGACTTCATCCTTGCGGCCGATAGTTGCTCAACGCGCTCAGCGATGGTTGCCCTTGATGCCTTAAATACTAGCTACAACAGCACTTGTGCTTAGCTTAGTTGTTGGAAGCAAGAATTACTGCCTAAATCACTTGCTGCAACACCCTCGTGGTTATAGGTCTCATGGCCAGGAAGGACTTCCCACATCCATTCATCCGTCGCTGCTAAGTATTGTATCTTGCTAGCAAAAGGGCAGTCGCACCGCTTGCTGCTCACATTCCGACTCTAGGCCCAAGTAATGGCCTTGCCCGCTTGGTCGCAAAGGATATCTACCTGCTGGGCCTCCCTTTGCTTGATACGGAGGGTAATACCCTCTAGTTGATACTGCTGGCGTACGCGGAGATAACACTTATCGAAGGTCGTGGCTTTAACTGTTGACATTGTGGGTATAGTTGCTGTTACACTAATCGTCACTTTCAGGGCAAAAAAGGAGGGTTAATAGAACACTACACATCGCGAGTTAGTTAACTATAATAATAACAACGCGTCGTAGGTGTAGGTAGGTGCCCTTGCTCTCATGCCTAAAAGAAATTTTGCTAGCGAGCCTAGCAAAAGGGATTGTACCTTTGAGAAGCAGTACATTGCGAGGCAGGGGCCTGTTGTGGCTGCGTGGCGAAGCTGACGAAAGTGGTTAGATACGGCCAAATACCATTTCACCCCCGGCCAAATACCCGTACTCAATAGAGAGACAATTAAAAGCACCTGCCTCTTGCCTGTGCCCCGGAGTCCCCGGTCAATGCCCCCATTGTAATTGTGGGGAACGCCAAAGACTGTCGGGACCACCCCTAATGTCAGACCATGCAAATATACACCAAATTCATAGATTTACTACACTAGATCTATAGATTTAGCTCCTTTTTGAAAATTAGAGAGAAGTCCAAAAGAGATAAAATTTTTAGTATACTTTCTCCTATAGCTAATATATAATATAGTAAATCTATATATATTATATACTTAAATATACTTATTTTACTTTATTTACTTTTATTAATAATAGCCTATATAAATATAGTATTCTTTAGCCTATAAATATTATAGCGCTAGCAGGAAGGTCCTGGAGCAGTGCCTGGCACCTGCCTACTTAAGTGTAGTTATTCTAAGACCTTCTAGTTATAGAATTCTATATCCTTTTGCGTAGATGCCACAGTGGAGTACGCACAGCCAAGGACACGTCAGCAGTGTAACCACCACTAGAGCAGCCTAGCTGCCAGTCACGTGACATAAACAGTTATACTATATTTATTTTATAATATATCATGCTTATTAAAAGCTATTAATAAAGTTTAATGTACTTTAAGCCTATCTCTGATTTTTAAGAAATAGTTAACCTAATGCACTTATCTCTTATTACTCTGCTATCTAGGGGTGGTCCGACATTAGGGGTGGTCGGAGTTGTAGGGTGGGGTCTTATTACGTTGTATTACAAGAAGGGAAAAATGTTACTGTTGAAGTAGGCAATACGGCAATGTTGCAAAGTGGCAAAGTGCACCCGTTCGTAGCGGAAAATGGCTAAAATGCGTTGGTCATTTTCGGGACGGGCTCTAATGACGTAATTGGTCTAGTCAAGTCGTGCGTATATTGTGTGTAACTTTCTGCTATGCTTGTTTCTCTCGGCATTCCTTATAAATCGGCATTTATGCCTTTGTGTATATATGTGATATACTCGTCGAGGTGCGACGGGCCTGGAGCCTTGCTGCCAGCGACGATGGCTGTTGCCTGCCTCGCTTCGTTGTCCTCTTCTCTGGGGCTGTAGTTGACGGCGGCTGAGGGCCCCTTCAGCTTCTAAATCCTCGTCGAAGAATGTCTTCCACATCTCCAGCTTCTCCAGGAGGTACTCCACGCCGCCCATAATCTCCCAGAGAGTCCCAAGCGACCCCTTCTCGGCCTAGCCTTGCGTGCAAAGCGTCTGCTGGTATCCCTTTAGTTGCGAGCGGACCTCATTAACCCCTTGGTGGACCCACCCCCACTTTTACCCCTCACTTTTAGAGATATATGACAATACCTTGTTTTAGAATGCTATTTTATTAGCAACTACCACTAATTTTAACATTATTACTAACATACTTATTAAAATCTATAATATCTAACTTTAATACCTCTACTTATAGCACTATTTATGTAGATATATTACTAGAGGACCTTGCTGTTACTTACCTAGATAACTACTGCCTAGAGCAGTAGAATAATGTAATAGTTTAGCCTAATAAGGCTCTAGTAAAGCTACTTAGACTATAAAGTACTATTATATAAAGGTAGAGATTATTAGTACCTCTAGCATAGGTAAAACGCTATATAGATAGAAGTACTCTAAAACTATTGGCTTTTGGACTTAAATGCTGTGGTCTAATTTGCCCTACCCCGCACGAGGGGTTAATGAGGTCTGCTCGCAAGAATATCCTGCAGCTAAACAAGCAGACGCCAATCCTCAAACGTCAGTACATCTTCCTCCGGAATGCGTTTGCTGTAATCGGGGTCTTGCTGGTTCAGCTGGATTATGGCCAGTATGCATACGGCATCCTCTATCTAACTCCCTAGTATCTAGGGCATCATCCAGCAGCCAACAGAAGGACCAAAACAGCAGCCAGCAATGGGATGAAGCAGTATATGTTATCCCATGGTCAACTCCTCATTAGTCTGCTGATCTACAGCGTTAATTACATCTATTTAACCAGCTGGGTAAGGATGATCTAGATACCCACACTATTCGTCACCTATCTAGAAAGATGCAAAAAGGGTATGATGAGCGAGCATCTAGACTGGCTTTTCTAGAGCAACAAGTCCGTCATCTGCAAGCTCATCTGGATAACCAGCAGCAGCGTACGAAGAAGAGGGTCCCTCTATCTCCTAACAGCACCTACGCAAAGATAGAGCATATCCAGCAGGCGCAAAATCCACCTGGCGATGAAACAGATAATCCAGATGAATCCGGCGTATCCGATTTATCCAGCGAAGCAGAAAGTTGCATCTGGGTGGGTGGGCAAGAGGGTGGAATAAGTGGTGATGGTGGTGGTGATGGTGGTGATGGTGGTGGTTCAAATGTAGGGTTGGTGGGTTACGGCTGGGGACAAGAAAGATAATCAAGCCCACATACGGATATGGTTCCCAACCCAAGGCATAGGTGAGCAAAGAATGGCCGGAGTGTCAGGCCGTCCACTACTTTTCTACTCGCGGGTCTCAGGCAAAACTCCCAATAGGCTCACGTGTACATCCTGTCAGCGCAAGATCCATGCATTGCTATATGACGCCATAGCTAGGAAATGTCGAAAAGAACAGTTATCAGAATGCCATTGTTTGTTCGTTTGTCACCCAAAGGCCCACGCACTCCGGTGGGGTGCCAGTGGGCCGCTAGGCTGGCCCATCGTGAGTTCATGTTTTCATGGATGTTATTAGAGTAGTATATATCTATATGTAACAAGGCACTTCTGAAGTAATCCAGCCTACTCAGATATAGAAACAACAAGTTTTTTGCCCTTGACTCTACCGCTTTGTAGCATTTCTAAGCCGGCGATGACACCATGAAGCCGACCTTCTATTTCCTGGGTAGGCTGCGTTGTGATGCGTCCGTGGTCTAGTAGCGGCTGTAGCTCGCGGGCCCACCGCGCAACCACATCGTGCAGGGTCGGATTGGCCTTGCGCGAGTATACGGGATGACCCAGATCGACATCGCGGCCTTGTCCCTCGAACCCCATGACGACCTTGAGGTGGACGGAGCGGCGGGTAACCCAAGCCTCTGACATGGCCTCAAGACAGGCGTAGCGGCCGCCGACGCGCGACAGACAAGAGAAGCAGACCGCCGCGGACTCGGCGTCGGTGATGCAGTCGAGGACGTGCTTGATGGGGAGACCGCCGGCGAGCTTCTTGACGTCGTCGGCGCACGTCGGTGACGTATACGACGCGGTGCCCACGGCACCGAGGCTCAGAACGAGGGGGGCCGACTTGGCCGAGCAGACGGCAATTGGAGCGTAGCCGGACCTGCGCGTATGTCAGCCACTGGCTCGAAGCTCAGCAGTTTCATCACTGGCGGGACGTCGGAAAGAAAGGGAGATGAAACAAAATAAACCCAAGCTCACATTTTCAACATCTGGATCGCTATGAGACCGGTGGACGTGGCTCCCCCGTACACCAATACGGGGAGGGGTTTTTCGGCGGGTGCGGTCGGCAAGCCGGGCAGGTTTAGGGCATCCGGGTCCGAAATGGCAAGGGCCGCCGTTCCCCATCCGATGGCGCCCATGCCGGCGGCCGACGTGTTTGTCATGGAGTCAGGGACGCGAAGGAGGTGGCGGGAGTCAGCGACAATGTACTCGGCAAAGGCGCCGTTGTTTGGGTTGCCGGGACGGTAGGGAAACTCGGCACCGGCGACGCGGGCGCCTGCCGGGAACCGCGACTGGGACCCTGCCTCTTTGACTACGCCGCAAAAGTCGCAGCCGACGGCGTTGTCCTGCATGAAGAAGTGCGTGACCATCTTGTGATCGGTAGGGTTCAGGCCTACGGCGAGGACGCGCACGAGCACGTGGTACGCGGATGGCAAGCTCGGCGGCAGAGGCCGGTCATGGGCAACGACCAACGGGAGTCCTGGTTCTCGGGTCACGGGGTTTGCCTTGGACTGCACTACCGCAGCCTGGCCACCCTGGGCGCGGGCCATGAGTGTTTGCTTTTGTGGTGCTTCTTCGTGTTTTACTCGGGTCGCTCACGCTCGATGAAGCCAGTTGGAGCCATGGACTTATGATGCCGTCTAGATAGAAGTAATGAAGCGGAGTCAAAGTTGAGGGAGAGAGAGAGAGAGAGAGAGAGAGAGAGAGAGAGGATGTTTGACTGAACCCTGTAGGATAAAGAACCTGGAGATGATTGACTAGCCAGTGAACAGTCTATTGGGATGGTGACGCGCTCTAGTCCTCGATAGGAAACCGACGCCGAACGCCCGCTGCCCCCGGCTTCTGTAAAGCTTGAAATCTGGAACAGAGTCGGCGTAGCTGCGTGTAAGATTTTGATCGAGTCAGCTGCGCTTCGTCACCACCTTAAGGTTTCCAAACAACACGACGAGTCAAGTATTTGCCGCGTTAAAGGCAATGGTGCACAGAGTTGATCGGTAAACTTGAAGATGGATAGACCGACTAGGGGTAATGTTGAAACCCGCGCTCGACGTCCATCTCCGTGACGACTCATTACGTTGTTCTGGATGCCTTGATGAAACTATCGCGAGTTGCCAAATCAGCTGCTCTTTGCCAGTACGCTCTCAACACCATCTCCCGCTGTGTAACTAGCTCTTACGCCCTCGCACGAGTACCGCACAGGATAGAAGTCAACCCCCGAGCAGCCAATCTTGGATGGAGGCGGCGACGGTGCGTCTAGCGGCAGCCGCCGCGGGCGCGATCACACATCTGACCTATCTCAAGAGAGGAGAGCATCACAGAAACGGCGCCAAGTATCTCCAGGCCGGGCTTATCGGGACTTTCTCGGCGGCATCGGTCCACTCGTATGCGACGTCGGCTCCGTGGCTCCTTTCCCTCTGGGCCGCCGTGAGAGTCTTGTCTTGCTTCCTCGCCGGTCTCTTAGCCAGCCTGCTCATTTACAGGCTGCTGCTGCACCCCCTCAACAGGTTCCCCGGCCCCTTGGGCGCGCGCGTGAGCGACCTATTTCTCTCGGCCCGGTTGGCTCGTCGGCACGACATGCACCGACAGTCTCTGGGCCTCTACAACGAGTACGGGCCGTTTGTCCGCGTCGGCTCGTCCACGCTCATGCTGAATCACCCGCTCGCCGTCCAGGCCATCCACGGTCCGGAGAGCGGCTGCTACAGGGCGTCCATGTACGACTTTGAACAGCCTAACCGAGGCATCGCAACAAGGGACGTCCGGCAGCACGCCGCACGCCGCCGCGTATGGAGCCGCGGGTTTGGCGATCGGGCGCTACGCGGGTACGAAGACCGCATCGTCGTCTACGTCCGGCTTCTGCTTACACATCTCTCGGCCCACCCTCAAGGGGTGCCCGTCGACGCGGCGCGGCTCACGGAGCACTTTGCCTTTGACGTGCTGGGCGATCTGGCTCTTGGTCAGGACTTTGGCATGCTCCGGAACGGCCAAAGCACGGCCGTGGAGCAACTGGTGCGCAGCATGGAGATCATGGGCCTCCGGCTGCCGACGTGGCTGCTGCGGATGATGATGGACGTCGCCCAGCCTCTCGTGACCACGGAGGCCTCGACGGGCTTCTTGGCCTTCTGCCACGAGAACCTGCGACGGCTCATGGCCGACGAGGCACGGCTTGAGCGACCGGGCCTTATGGCTCCCCTGCTAGCCCACCACGAGAAGCTCTCCCCCGGCGAGCGCGACATGTCCGTCCTGCAAAACGACTGCCGCTTTGCTATTATTGCAGGCAGTGACACGGTGGCAGCGACGCTTGCTTTTGTCCTTTTCCACATCGCCAGACACCCCGAGCATACGCAAAAACTACGTGACGAGCTGGCCCGTCTGCGGGACGACTGCCGTGACGACGATGGCATTATAGCCCATAAGAGACTCGTGAACGCCGAGCACTTGAACGCCGTTATCAACGAGACGCTGCGCCTGCACCCGCCCGCGTCGACCATCTTACGCGTCACGCCCCCCGAGGGCATCGTGGTGGCCGGCACCTTTGTGCCTGGCGACATGACGGTGTTTTCTTCGCAGTACGTTATCGGGCGATCCGAGGCCGTGTACGAGAAGGCCGCCGAGTTCGTGCCGGAGCGATGGTATTCGCGCCCCGAGATGATCAAGGAGCCTGCCGGCTACGCTCCCTTTTCAACAGGTAGGCCATGCCACGTCCACGCCAGATCGTTCCCCTTGGTGCTATGATCACGATACCCCCTTCGTGTCTATGCTGACGTTGACTTGTGTTTGACGCGCAGGACATCACGGCTGTCTCGGACGCCCTCTGGCTCTTATGGAGATGCGTCTGCTTGTCGCCGCTTGCGTGTCGAGGTATAATGTGACTTTTGCTCCGGGTTTTGATGGCGATGCTTTCATGGACAACGTGAAGGACTGCATGTCCTGGCACATGGGAAAGTTGGAGCTATGCTTCACGGAATGGGGAACTGAATCGTAGGAGCATCTATCGCAAGGCTGAAACGTGACAGTAGACAATCAAAAGAATTCTCTTAATGCGTCAAATCGTCGTTATGTCGGATATATAGAATATACTTCCGCTGCATCTGAACATGTCATGTGGCAATAAATGAAGATGGACCTTTGAACAGGCTATAGACAGACGGAAATGCCGGCACCGATGATTATATGCGAGATTCCTTAGACGTAGTCCTTGACCAGATCCTCGCACCACTCCCAGAACTTGGTGGCGTTACCGTTGCCGCCCTCGGCCTCGGACTTTGTCGCACTAAGCAAGTCTTCCCGGATGGGGTAAAGCCGGCCCCAAGGAACAACTAATAAGGAGAGATCTCGTTAGTGACACGTAAGATATGACATGGTGGCATGAAGACTAGGAATACAACAACAAAAACAGCAAGAGTAACTCACCCCAAGCCCCAGAGTCCTTCATCGTCAGATCAGGCGACAGGGCGGCAAACAGCTCGACGTAGGCGCCATAGACAGGCGGGTAGAGCGCCACGGCCTTGAGCACGCCCCGGAAGACGAAGCCGCCTTCGCGATACAGCTCGGAAGAGAGGTGGCCCGGGTTGATGGGCAGGCTCATGATGCCATCGTCGGCGTGGCGGCGGGCGAACTCGACGCCGTGCAGCCAGTTGCCGGCCTTGCTCAGCCCGTACCGCTCGAGCGGCGACATGAGCGGCCAGTAGCTGGCGTAGTCCGACGAGAGACCGCGCGACTTCTCGCCGATGGTCTCGGTGCCCATAGACGAAACCCACACGACGCGGACGGAGCCGGGCTGGGTGCCGGGCAGACGCGCAGTGGCGGCCAGAAGGGGGGTCAGCAGCTTGGTCAGGAGGAAGGGCCCCAGCACGTTGACGCCGAGGTGCACCTCGTGGCCCTGGGCCGTCCTGTTGTGCGACCCGTCTGTGTCGGCGAGGGCCTGGACGGCGGCGTTGTTGAAGAGGACGTCGAGACGCTCCTCAAGCGACTGGAAGCGCCTTGCGGCCTCGCCGACGGCCCCGAGGTCGGCGAGGTCGAGCGGCAGGAAGACGAGCGACCCCGTCGACGCCGGCCAGGACTCTCGGATGCTGGCCATGGCGGCCTCGGCTTTGGTTTCGGAGCGCGCGGCCACGTAGACCTTTGCGTTCTTGGAGTACAGGATCCCGGCCGTCTCCTTGCCGACGCCCGAGTTGGCGCCCGTGACTAGATAGACCTGCAAGACGGTGTCACGACATACGCGCACAGGGGTTGGGTTCGGGGCTGCCGCGCTGCAGACGTACCTTGCCGCTCAGGTCGGGAATGCTGTCTCGGGTGTAGGTGGGCTTAGGCGGGTACATTTGCGTCCACATGCTCGAGAAGGACTGCTTCCCGGCTTGAGGCCTGGCTAGCGATGTCATGATTAGGATGATTAGGATGATGGTGATGATGATGTTGATGACGAGTATTTTCACAGCGATCTGGTTTAAGGAAACGGTTGTGATGTTGCTCAAGAGTCCATTTCTTGGTGCCAGTTCTCGATAGTTGGAGAGGTGGAAGAACGCTCCTGGATGAGCCCGACGCCTTCTGCAATCCAATGATTCGTGTTGGTCGTTTCTAACTCTGATTATGCCTCGCGGGGGTATATCAAGGTTTCTCTTCCCGGATTCGGTAAGTGGCGCCGAACCGGGCTCGGAGCGGCGGCACAGGGTCAAGGATTGCTCCGCCCGCCGACGCCGAGTCACCGCTTGTTAACCTAATCTAATCATGGTTGCGACTTGCAGTCCCAATTCCAAGATCTATGACGACTAGAAGATGGGTTGGTTCGTTCAAACCTAGAGGTTATCTATTGATAAAGCTGCCACCAATGTTGTGTGTCCATCATCCATGACCAAGTAGCGCACTGTATTGAAGTTCTTTTCCGCCAACGTTACAATGGATTCTCAGAGGTGGCATTCTACGAGGATTTTCTGGTCGTTATTAGTATCATCTTCCGTATGCCTCGGCGCCTTGATTCCAGTCCGAGAAGCCACAGGCATCGATACCCGTTGTAAAGTGATACCTGGCGACGACGCATGGCCGGGACCCGATGTCTGGGAACAGCTGAACCAGACAGTCGGCGGACGGCTCATAGCCACAGTGCCCCAAGCTGCTGTCTGTTACCCGCAGGGCTTTGCCGATATCAAACCCAACCAGGCCGAGTGTGCAGAGCTAGCAAAGAACTGGGAATTCCCACAGACTTAGTTCGTACTCTTTTTCGCCTGCGTCTTTGTCCTCTTGCCGCTGTATCAGCCTTAGCCACAGTTTTGACTGCATCTCTAACCACTACTTGTCCACCCGTAGTATCAACAGTCCGGCTGCTATCGCGAACCCTTGGTATCAGAACGATTCCTGTAGCCCCTTTTCTCAGTCATCGGGGCAGTGCGAGCTCGGGAACTACGTCAGCTACTCCATCTCCGTCGAGGGTCCCCCTGACGTGGTTGCCGCCATCAACTTTTGCCGATCGCAGAATGTGCGACTGGTCATCAAGAACACGGGACATGAGTACGTCTTCCAGTCTCCCCCTGGTGCCCTGCAGTACAGTACCAGAGGACGCAGAAACACAAGGACAAGGATGCTATGCTAACCTACGAACTCGGGCTTGTAGTTACCTCGGCAAGTCAACTGGGAAGGGCGGCCTGGCAATATGGATGCGGAACCTCAGATCCCTCGACATCATTGACAGCTACAACAGCGACGAATACTCTGGCCCGGCTGTCAAGGTCGGCGCCGGATGGACCGGCGGGGAAGTGCTTCTCCGTGTGGCCCAGGCCGGCTTCTGCGTTGTCTCGGGAGACTGTCCCACGGTCGGCATCGCCGGCGGCTTCTCGGCCGGCGGAGGCCACGGCCTGCTGAACGGTGCTTACGGCCTCGGCGCCGACAACGTCCTCGAGTGGGAGGTCGTCACCGCCGACGGCCGCCACCTCACGGCGAGCCCGAGGGAGAACGCAGACCTATACTGGGCCATGACCGGCGGCGGGGCCGGCACTTATGCTGTCGTTCTCAGCATGACGGCTCGGCTGCATCCCGAGAGCCACGTCGGCGCCGCCACTCTGAGCTTCAACGCCACCTCGAGCCCCAGCAACGAGACGTACGCCGCCGCCGTCGAGGCCTGGTGGCGCTTCCTCCCCAACATCGTCGACGCTGGTGCCTGCCCCGCCTTCAACTTTGTTGACGGCGCTTTTAGCGTCCATAACACGACTGCCCCGGGCAAGACAGCCGAGGACATGACCGAGCTGTACCGGCCATACCTCGAGCAGATTGAGGATCTGGGTGTCCCGTATACCTTCACCGCCTACACGGCGCCCTCGTACATAGACCACTACAATTACACCAACGGGCCGCTGCCGTTCGGGCCATATCAGAGCTCGGAGCTTTTCAACAGCCGGGCGATCCCGCGGACCGCCGTCACCGGCGAAACCGGCCCCAAGCGTCTAACGGCCGCCACCACGTCCATCGTGTCGTTTGACCAGGCCGCTAACTGGCAGTTGGGCTGCATGGGACTCAACGTGAACGCCACCAACATCCCGCGGCACGCCGACAACGCCGTGGCGCCTTTTTGGCGCGACTCCGTCGCCGTCTGCCTCGAGTTCTCCTTCTACGACCGCACCGTGCCCGAGTCCACTATGCTGGCCCGCCGGCGCGATCTGGCCAGCCACATACACCCGGCCATCGAGGCCGCTACTTCCGGCTCCGGAGCGTACCTGAACGAGGCCGATCCCCTGGTGTATCCGCAGGAAGCGGTTGACAAGTGGAAGACTGCCTTTTACGGCGAAAACTATAATCGTCTGTACGAGATCAAGAAGCGGTGGGACCCAGACTCTGTCTTCTACGCTTTTACTGCTGTGGGTTCAGACGAGTTCATCCAGGACGCCGCGGGAAGAGTCTGTAGCGCTTAACTAGCGTAACCTGTGACAGTATTTTTCAGGGTTTAGAAGCTATAGAGTAGATAATGCAACGGCCTAGTAAGGCAGTGAATGCGATGTGTCTGGAAAGGATTGACCAACATAGGCAGCCTAGAGTTTAGAGAATATGCATACGTAGATAGCAGGCCTTTCAGCGGCTAAGACTCGAAATTACAACATTGCACCTTCTCAGTTAAGAACTAAACCATGTTATTATACGACTTGGCTGGTGATTAGGGTTATCAAAAAACCTCTGGCTCTACACAAAATGCTAAAATGCAATGACTAACTTAAGAATGGCTCAAATAGCTAAGCAGTCTAACGTCACAACTCAGCACAACTCTTACCATCACTCAGAAAGAAATATCCCTCCAGTAATTAACATTTCGTCTCTTCAACGTTCTTAGCGGGCTTGAGGCGCAAGAACAGGCCCGGCTTGTCCCAGACGAGGTATGCCTTTTGGTTGTCCATCCAGCCGCGGCTCTGCTCTGTCATGTCGACGTCAAAGTTCCACAGGAACCGCGCGAGAATGTAGCGCATCTCGGCGTAGGCGAGACTAATTGGCAGTTGTCAGCTCTCGCAATGAACGCGTATGTACGGAAAACGTCGACAACTCACTTGATCGCGATACACGCGCGCGGGCCGTACGAGAAAGGATGAAAGCCGTCGCGGCGGTCGTCATCAAACTCGGCGGGCCGCTGCCCTTCGGGAAGCCAGCGCTCCGGGCGGAACTCTTGGGCGTGTTTCCAGAACTTCTCGCTACGATAAACGACGCGGTGTGGGATGCCCAGTATGGTCTATATCGGATGTGGGAGCCTACGGTTAGCCACTTATCTTTGGATGCGACCATTTACAGATCCCTCCTGGCAGCATGGAAAGTTGTTTAGGTAAATGTCCACTTGACTTACATTGCCCGGTATATCCTCGCCCAAAATTGTGTTCCCCTCAGGCGGAGTCATGCGCCACATGGCGTTAGGACCCGGAGGATAGTAGCGAAGAGACTCCTGTATGAAGGCCCCTGTGTATGTCAGGTTCGCAACGCTGCGCATATTGATGTCGTCCTCCGTGGCAAAAGTGGCGTGAAGCTCCTCTGTGATCTTGCGCTTCAGATCTGGCCTATTGGCAAGGGTGTAGGCCATGCCCGTCAGTGCGCTCGAGGTTGTCTCGGCGCCGCCGCCGGTGAGGAGGATGGCATTCTTGAACATCTCTTCCTGCGTCATGTATAGGCTCTTTTTCGGGGTCGAGGACATGACGTCCATGAAGTCGTCGCGCTTTTTGCGAAGCGCCAGTCGCCGCTCCACCACTTGCCTCAATACGACGACGTGTCTCGTGAAGTCGCGGTACATTTGGACGGTGGCCTTGACGGGAAGGAAGACGTAGAAGAAGGGTATTCGTTTGCACAGCATGAACAAGTGGGTGATATAGATGTTGGCAAAGACCAGCCGAAGCCAGGGGTGCAACATGGAGTCCTTCAGACAGCCAAACGGCTCGCCGAAGGACAGGTCCCCTATGATGTCGAAGGTGCAGTAGGTGAACCACTCGAGCATGTTGACGACGGCTCCGCCCTCCCCGAGACCTCGGACACATAGCTCGTCCAGTCTCAACAGGAACAGGTCGACGTGCTGTCTTATAAGGGGCTCCTGTCTACACATGGCGCCGTATGTGAAGCCCGGGGCCATGACACGACGCATGCGTCCATGGTCACCGAGGGTGGCGCCGACCATGTCGTGTGCGTCTGGACTGCAGTACCAGGCGGGCTTGGAGTTCTCCTTGCGTTTTGCGGGGACGTAGCGGCCGTAGATATCGTCCCAGGCCTCGGGCAGCGCATAGGACAGCTCGTCGGGGCCGACGCGGACGATGGGCCCGTATTTGTTGTGCAGTTCCATAATCTTGACGTGCCATTTCCCGGTCATGTACCAGTAGCCGTACGGCAGAGAAGAGGCTGCAAAGAGCCTTGGACCGGGGTACTTGCTGAGCGGGTGGAGGAACACATTGTAGAAAGGCCACAGGAGGAGAAAGCAGGCTACTAGCTGTATAAGGAGCAATTGACTGTCGTTAGATGGCGGCTTCCAACAGTTGAGGGTTCGTAAGAGACACATACCAGTTCCGCGGCGTGGAGAATAGTAGAGGAAGGAAACACATCTGCGAATGCAGCCACCGAAAGGAGAGACATATCTACGGCAGGAAGTTCAAGTGAAGAGTTCGGAAACGAGTCATTCGGGGAGGGGATATAGGCCAGCGAACACGGTGAAGTCAAAACCCCTTGGGAAGAGAGTAAAATTTTATGATCAGTCGGTGGCCTGGGAAGAGAGTGTCGTGCGTGAAATCGGACAAAGAAAAGATCAAAACCGAGCCGTCTATTTCTCTAGGACGAAGATACAGGACAGTGTTATTTGAAGGCCGTACGGAAATCTCTAGTCACTGAGAACCGATGACCTGGCCCAGTCTCCAGAGACACACACTGAGCCACTTTGTTGGCTTGATACCGCCACAGTATTCTCGGATCGAGTTATCGCGATTCAGATTGGGCTACCACGTCTCAGATTGGGTTACCAAGTCTCAGATTGAGTTATCGCACTCAATCAGACGCAGACTCAAACCTAGGCATCCTTAGGGTGTGGTCGGCCGCTGCTCATGAGGAGTGATTAGTGGCCAAGGGGGGACTTTTTGTTACTTGTGCTACCCCAGCTTTATGCTCATTGTACCACCAAAGTAGGTATAGTCTATAACCAGCTCACCGCTTACTTGAATAGTCTTTGATAACCCTAACCCTAATCTTACTTAACATCACTTTAATCATCTAGGCTAGCTAGCCACTAATCACATTAGCCACTAATTCATAATGCTAAGATTAATAGTAGATAAGCCTATTTTAAATAACGCTTTCCCTCTTTTAGTGGTAAGTCACCAGAGATTTAGAAAGATATATTGCATAAATCTAACTTTCTAGCTGCAGTAAGCATCTGAGCTCAGATACCCCTCCGGAGTGGTTGTGTACGCCGGAAATACCCGTTGGCCACGAATCACTCCTCATGAGCAGCGGCCGACCACACCCTTAGTCAATCACGTGGAGACAAAGACGAGGCCACGAACACAAGAATCAATCTTCTGATGAACACCGGAGGTGGCCCTACGACGTACAGTATGCGAGGGACGAACCTAAGGGAGTTGCATGAGTTCCGGCAATGAGCCGTCTCGACGGTGACGCAAGATTGAACAACATTCGGCGTCGGTTTCCTAGAAAGGAAACCGAACCCCCTTACGGAACGGGCGCCAACGATGCGCCCAAGCGTCGTCGGCAATGACTCTTGTTCCACGGTTTGATGGTTGGGGGTTCTATTAGCAGAAATTTGGAAAACTTTGAATAACTCGGCAATGCAAAGACGAATTTAATAACTCGGCAATGCAAAGACGAATTTATCTGAGATTTCATTCTCATGGTTTGAGTTAGCGTTCCTCGGTAGGAAGTTCTACATAGACCTTCTCTGTCTTATAAATTTGAGTTAAGTGTTTAACTGGAGTCTATTCAGACCTTTATATAGATAGATATCCATAGGATGGCCAACTGATGAAGTGATTGTAATCGCCTGCTTCTAAAATATAGTCACCTGAACGCTTCTTGTAAGACTCTGGGGTAGACGATCCGGCTACTATCGACGGCCAGGTGAAAGTACAGTTTCTCCTGAACAACAAATTCATTCTTATTTTCAGTACAAATCAAGAGAAATAAAGCTGTTTCGCAATCCGCACCCAATATCACAGCTTCTCCCCCGTAGCCTCGTCACTTCCAAAATCTCACAATGCTCTCCCGCGACGACCGGTCCTCCATGGACCCCGCCCCGGATCCCATCGTCATAGTGGGCAGCGCGTGTCGATTTGCCGGCGACGTGAACTCGCCGTCGAAGCTGTGGGAGCTCCTCCAGAACCCACGAGACGTGCGCAGCGAGATTACCGGCAACAGGTTCAACGCCGAGGGCTTCCACCACCCCAACAGCGCGCAGCACGGCCGCATGAACGTGCTCCACTCCTATCTGATGAACAATGACTTGCAGGCCTTTGATGCCGAGTTCTTTGCCATCAACCCGGTCGAGGCGGTGGCAATGGACCCGCAACAGCGCCTTCTTCTCGAGATAGTATACGAGGCTATCGAGTCCGCCGGGATGACGATCCAGGGCCTTCGCGGAAGCGACACGGGCGTATACGCCGGTCTCATGTGCGGCGACTACGAGGCCATGCTGCTCCGGGATCTGGACCAGGTACCAACCTACCTGGCGGTGGGGACGTCGCGTGCTGTGCTTTCGAACCGCGTGTCGTACTTCTTTGACTGGCACGGCGCTTCTGTCACCATCGACACGGCGTGCTCGTCGAGCCTGGTTGCAGTGCACCAAGCCGTCCGGGCTCTGCGGGCCGGCGACTCGCGGATGGCAGTGGCCTGCGGGTCGAACCTCATCTTGGGGCCCGAGATGTACATCATCGAGAGCAAACTGAAGATGCTGTCGCCCGACGGCCTCGGGCGCATGTGGGATGCCGAGGCCAACGGCTACGCGCGCGGAGACGGCGTGGCGGCCGTAGTGATCAAGACGCTCAGCCAGGCGCTGCGAGACGGCGACCGGATAGAGGCCGTCATCCGGGAGACGGGCGTGAACCAGGACGGCGCTACCCCGGGACTGACGATGCCCAGCGCCAGCGCGCAACGAGACCTGATCCGCAGCGTCTATAGGAAAGCCGGTCTCGATCCGGCTAACCCGGCCAACAGGCCGCAGTATATCGAGGCGCATGGCACCGGAACCCCGGCAGGCGGTACGTATGTCTGTTTTACGTTCCTGTCCTAGTCTATGTGGCACTCTCGATGCCCTCTATTCTCCGAAAGAGCCCGACTGACTTCCCTCTCCTCCCTGATATTGCAGATCCCGTCGAGGCCGAAGCTCTCAGCACCGCCTTCTTCGGCGACGGCCATGGCGGACAGGCCGGAGACGGCAGCCCCTTATACGTGGGCTCCATCAAGACGGTGCTGGGCCACACCGAAGGCACGGCAGGCATCGCGGGCCTCTTAAAGGTGACCAAGGCCTTGCAGAACGCCACGGTGCCGCCCAACATGCTCTTCGAGCGGCTCAGCCCGGCCGTCGCACCATTCTACGGCAACCTGCAAATCACGACAAAGGCTCTCGCGTGGCCGGAGGTGCCCGACGGGCAGCCAAGGCGGGCCAGCGTCAACAACTTTGGCTTCGGAGGCACCAACGCGCACGCCATCGTGGAGAGCTACCAGGGGCCAACGAGAGAAGGGGGAAGAGGTGTCGATTCAGAGACGGACTGGGAGGTCCTCGTGCCGTTTGTGTTCTCGGCTGCTTCCGAGGATTCTCTCCGGGCAAACCTTGCGGCCTACGTCGCATACTTTGATGCGCACCCCGAGGTGAACGTGCATGACCTGGGATACACCCTGCGAGAGCGTCGTTCCGTCTTCAACCACCGCGTCTCCTTCTCGGCAGCGACCGTGGGTGACCTCAAGGGCAAGATCCAGGCGCGCCTCGCCGCGACGTCGTCCGAGCAACAAAACATCGGAGTGAGGACATATGCTGCGGTGCCATCGTCGTCGCCGTCGTCGTCGTCGTCGACGACAAAAAACACGCCCTCGAGGGTCCTCGGCGTCTTCACCGGCCAGGGAGCTCAATACTCCCGGATGGGGGCAGAGCTCATCGAAAAGTCACCCTTGGCCTCGCGTATAATCCAGACGCTCGAGAGCCATCTGAATGCCCTCCCGGAAGAGGACCGTCCGTGCTGGTCTCTCCGGGCCGAGCTGCTGGCGGAACCCTCGGCATCCCGAGTCGGCGAGGCGGCCATCTCGCAGCCCTTGTGCACGGCGGTACAGATCATGCTGGTCGACCTGCTCCGCTCTGCCAACGTGTCGTTCGAAGCCGTCGTCGGCCACTCGAGCGGGGAGATGGCCGCCGCGTACGCCGCGGGATTCCTCAGCGCCCGCGACGCCGTGGTCATCGCCCACTACCGAGGCCTGCACAGCAAGCACGCGCGGAGCCCGAACGGGGACGGTATCAAAGGCGCGATGCTAGCCGTCGGCACGTCGCCTGAAGACGCCGCAGAACTATGCGGGGTAGACGAGTTCGCTGGGCGTATCAGCCTGGCGGCCGTCAACTCGCCGTCGAGCGTCACCATATCGGGAGATGAGGACGCCGTTGCGGAGCTTGCGCTGGTCCTTGACGACGAGAACAAGTTCAACCGCCGCCTGCGGGTGGACAGGGCGTATCACTCGAGACACATGCTGCCGTGTTTCGAACCTTACGTGGCCGCTCTCCGACGCGCCGGCGTCAAGGCCCTCGCCGGCAACGGCCGATGCACCTGGTTTTCGAGCACTTGGGGCGGCAAGCCGGTCGATCCCTCGGCCGACAAGCTGAGCGACGTGTACTGGGCCGAGAACCTGACGAGGCCGGTCGCCTTTTCGGATGCCGTCGCCGCAGCCGCCGCCGCCGTCTTCTCCCGGGATGGCGGTGTTCCCGGCGTAGCGCTCGAGGTCGGACCGCATCCCGCGCTCGCCAGTGTTGCCAAGGAGAACATGCAGGACGTGGCGTACTTTGGCACGCTCTCTCGGGGGGAGAGTGCCGTCATGGCCTTCTCCGATTGCCTCGGCAATCTCTGGGAACGCCTGGCAAGTGGCTCGGTGGACCTCGGGGGTTGCGGGGCCGCGTTGTCGGGGCTCGGCGGGCGGCCGTTCGCCGTCCTCGGAGATCTGCCGAGTTATCAGTGGAAGCACAAGGTCAAGTACTGGTCCGAGTCCAGGAGATCTCGCAACATCCGTCTGCGCCACCAGCCGCACCATGAGCTCCTGGGACACGCGTGTCCGGACAGCGCGCCGCACGTCTTGAGGTGGACAAACGTCCTGAAGCCCAGCGAGATGCCGTGGCTCGAGGGACACCAGGTTCAGGGCCAGATCGTGCTCCCTGCCGCCGCCTACGTGTCCACTGCCATCGAGGCGGCGCGGTTCCTGGCTGGCGGCGGCGAGGAGGGCATACGCCTCGTGGAGCTCGCCGACTTCAACATCCACAACGCCGTCACGTTCGACCAGAACGACACGGGTGTCGAGGTCCACGTGGAGCTCTCGCGGATCTCGGTGAAACCGGGCCGAGAAGCCACGGCCTTCTTCACGTACTCTGCTGCGCTGGGGGGCGTCGGATCTGCCGACCTGGTCCTCGCGGCCGACGGCGAGCTCAGAGTGTCACTCAGGAAGGTCAAAAAGGAGGAGGAGAAGGAGGATGACAAGGGGGTCAAAGCAGCAGCGCCGTGTCTCCCCGAACGCGCACCTCCGCCGCCGCACATGATCCCCGTGGCACCAGACCGTTTGTATGGATTCATGGCGGGGCTGGAGTACGACTTCTCCGGGCCGTTCCGGTCGCTTGTGGAGCTCGAGAGGAAGCTTGGCAGGGCGTCCTGCGTCGCCCGAAAGGCGAGGACGTCGGCATCTGTATGTGACGACCGCCTTCTGCTTCACCCCGTCGACCTGGACGCCGCCTTTCAGTCCGTCATGCTGGCACACAGCTACCCGGGGGACGACCGGCTGCGTCTCCTCCATCTGCCCTCGAGGATCAACAAGGTCAGGGTCGACCTGGACGCGCTCACTGCCGAAGACTACGTCGAGGCCGACTCGATGCTCGTCGACTCCGTGTGCGACAGCGCCGACAGCACCAGCGGCTTCTCGGGCAGCGTCAGCTTATACGCCCCCAGGGGTAAACTCATCCTTCCGCGGGCGGCCGTCCAGGTCGACGAGGTCTGGTTCAAGCCCGTGGGAGCCATGGACGCCGGCAACGACCGGGATGTGTTTTACAAGATGCACTGGGTGCCGAGCCGGCCGGACGGCGCGGAGGCCGCCGCCGGTGTGCCCGTGACGGACCGCGACCGCGAGCTGGTCTTTGTGCTCAGCCGCATCGCCGCCTTTTACTCGAGACGGTTCGATGAGATGATACCCGACGACCACCTGGCCCGGTCTGAGAGCCCGTTGTGCCACTATCTCCGGTACGCCAGACACATGACGGGACTCTTGAGGCGTGGCGAGCATCGGTGGGCCTCTCCCGAGTGGCTCGACGACACGGAGCAGGACGTTCTTGATTATATCAACGAAAAGGGGTGAGTTGCTCGATCATTCAACTGAAATTACTACCTACTAACGCCACGCAGCTTCATGGACAACTCGGATGTTGCCATCATGCTCCTCGTCGGCAAGACGATGCCGCGCGTCTTCCGAGGCGAGACGACCATGCTGGAGCATTTCCGCACTTCCGGGCTCTTGGACGAGTACTACGTGAACGGCTTCGGAACCAAGCAGTCGGCCATGTGGGTGGGCGGCGTCGTCAAGCAACTCACCGACCGCAACGCGCACCTCAACATCCTCGAGATCGGCGCCGGCACCGGCAGCGCCACCAAGAACATCCTGGGCGCCGTCGGCCGCGACTTTGCGACGTACACCTTCACCGACATATCGTCGAGCTTCTTCGAGAGTGCCGCCGAGACGTTTGCGCCGGGGGGACCGGATGGTGTACAAGGTGTGCAACGCCGAGGAGGACCCGGCGACGCAGGGGTTCCGCGAGGGCGCATATGACGTCGTTGTGGCCTTCATGGTGATCCACGCCTGCGCCAAGCTGGACGAGGCCGTGGCTAACCTCCGGAAGCTGCTCCGGCCGGGCGGCCTGCTGATCCTTGGCGAAGGCGCCAGCAACGGCGCCATGCAGGCCGGCGCCGGCTTCATCTTCGGCCCGCTGCCAGGCTGGTGGCGCGGCGTCGCCGAGGGCCGCACGCTGTCGCCGCTGGTGGACGCCGACGAGTGGGAGACCATCCTCCGGCGCAACGGCTTCTCGGGCATCGACACTATGTCGCCGCCGCGGTTGTTTGACGCCTTTGGCATTACCCTCTTTGTGTCCACCGCCGTCGACGACCGCGTCGAGTTCGCCCGGAACCCCCTTGACGTTATCAGTAGCAGCAGCAGCACCAGTATCGTATACGAAAAGGTGGTCATCGTAGGGGGTCAGACACCCGCAGTTGCCGACCTGACCCGGAGTCTCGAGAAACTGTTGACGCCGCTGGCAAAGCAAGTCATCATGTCCGACTCGGTCGAATCGCTTGACGAGGTCGTGTTCGGTGGCGACGCCGGCTTGACCGTCGTCAGTCTCGCGGACCTCGAGCGTCCCGTCTTCAAGGACATGACGCCGGAGCGGTGGAATAACTTCAGGCAGTTGTTCGTGGGCGGCAACTCCATCCTCTGGCTCACCTCCGGGCGCCTCAACCGCGAGCCGTACTGCAACATGACGGTGGGCTTCGGGCGGTCCGCCATGCACGAGGAAGACACCCTGCGCGTGCAGTACGTCGATCTCGAGGACGGTGTAGGCGGTGCCGGCGGCATCGACGCCCACGCTATTGTCGACCACCTCCTCCGCTTCACTTCCGAGCAGCTCGACGACGCCGAGGACCTCCTCTACGTCAAGGAACCTGAGATCATCATTGACGGCAGCGGACGCGAGCTCGTGCCACGTCTGTTTCCCATTGCGGACGCCAACGACCGCCTCAACTCGGCCTCGCGGCCCATATACCGCCAGATCGACACGCGCAAATCCCCCGTCGAGCTGGTGCTGCAACCGACGGGCCACGGCGGCCCCAGCCTCCGGCAGTTGACGCGGTACGAGACCTCGGCAGACCTCGTGCCCACACCACCGTGCTCCAGCGGTGATAGTGAGACCGTCCAGCTGCGCCTCACCCACGCCGTGGCATCCGCCCTCCGGTGCCCGGCCGGCTTCCGGTTCCTCGTCGTGGGCGTAGACGACCATGGCTCTCGGCGTCTTGCGCTCGTTTCTTCCCTCACGTCCGTGATCAAGGTCCCCGCCGAGTCGGCCGTCACTTGTGACGTCCCAAGCGGCTCCGAAGCTACCCGCCTCGCCCTCGTGGCGGCGGAGCTTGTTGCCATGGCCATCCTCAGTCCTTTGTCCGCAGGCCAGAGGCTGGTCCTACACAACGCGCCCGAACCGGTTGCCCAGGCCATCATGGCACAAGCCGCTCTCGGCGGCGTCATCGCGACGCTCTTGACGGACTCCACGGCACCAGCGCCGGCGTCATCGGCAACGCCCCAGATCGAGCTCCCCGCCTATCTAGGCCGCTCCGAGATGGCTCGGCTGTTGCCTGCCGACGTCGCTTGTTTTGCTTCCTTTTCCAACACCGATGAGAAGCCGGAGAACGAGCTGGCGATACTGTCTCTCCTGCCACCCTTCTGTCGCAGAGAGAACGCCCGTACCCTCTACTCCCCCTGCGGCGTAGAGAGCGGCTCGGCTGGACCTGTTCTGAGACAGTTACTAAGACGGGCCATCCATCTTGTTGAAACAAAGAATGCCGAGCGCGGGAACTCATACTTCTCTCCACCGCCCGAGACAATGAGTCTCGAGGCGCTCACAAACGGCGGCCATCCCCCGAGCAGCCCGCTGGCCATCATCGACTGGACGACGTTGGCGTCCACCTCGCTTGTCGCGCAGGTCACCCGCTTCGAGTCGAAGCCGCTCTTCAAGCACGACAAGACGTACTGGCTCGTTGGTCTGTCGGGCGCGCTGGGCATCTCCCTCTGCGACTGGATGATTCAACGGGGCGTGCGCCATCTGGTCCTCACGAGTAGGAACCCCAAGATAGACCCGCGCTGGATCAGTGACCACGCCTCTGGCGGAGTGACCATCAAGATATTGTCATGGTATGTCCCGAACTGATATCCTTCTCTCTGGGTGTTTTGAACTCTGACTAAAAGTGTCACTGCAGTGACGTGACCGACAAAGAGGCCATCAGGGCCGTTCATCAGACCATCGTCGACAGTCTGCCGCCCATCGTCGGCCTGCTCAACGGCGCCATGGTCCTGAGAGACGTGTCCGTCCGCAACATGAAGTTCGACCAGGTGACGGAGGTCATTGGGCCCAAGGTGCTGGGCAGCATGAACCTCGACGACATCTTCCGCGACGTCGACCTCGACTTCTTCGTTCTCCTGTCCTCCATCAACTGCGTCATCGGCAACGTCGGTCAGGCCAACTACGCCGCGGCCAACATGGGCATGATAGGCGTGGCAGGGCGGCGCCGGGAACGCGGCCTCCGCGCCTCCGTCGTCAACGTCGGCGCCATCATCGGCGTCGGCTATATCACCCAGTCGGACCGCCAGCTCGACCTAACGGTGGCCAAGACAGCCATGATGCACCTCTCCGAACAGGACTTCCACCAGATCTTTGCCGAGTGCGTCGAGTCCGGCCACCTCGACAACCCCAACGGGCCCGAGATATCCACCGGCCTCCTCCCCATCACGCCCGGCATGCAAAACATCCCCCCCTGGTACTCGGACCCCAAGTTCTCTCGCTTCCGCGTTTGCGAGTCTCAGGCCGACGACGGCAGCGGCGGCGGGGGCCGCGGCAAACAGGACAAGACGAGTTTGGCCTCGGTCCGGGACCTTCTCCAGGCGTGCCGGTCCCCGCAGAACGTGCTGGACGTCGTCAAACATGCCTTCGGCGCCCAGCTGCGCCGCATGTTGCAGGTCTCGGCCGACGACGACGAGCTGATGATGATGCGGGGCGCCGAGCTCGGTTTCGACTCCCTCCTCTCGGTCGACGTGCGGTCATGGTTCCTCAAGACCTTCCAGGTCAGCGTCCCCGTGCTCAAGATCATGGCCAGCGACGTTCGCATGTCCAGTCTGGTCGAGCTGGCCGCCGAGAGCATCCCACCCGAGCTGGTTCCCCAGGTACAGCAAGAGGATGCTTCCGACTCCTCCCTCCCCAGTTCCTCCTCCGTCCCCAGCTCGCCCCGTAATCAAGACAGCGGCGGCTCAAGCAGCGACTCGGTAACGTCATCTTTGGGAGCCAGCGGTGTGACGACGCCTACCAGCACCGGTCCTGACCTAGACTCCAAAGTTGACAGCAGCAGCAGCAGTCCAACCATCGACTGGGTTGCCGAGACAACACCGCCCGAGCCGGACACGTGCGTTCCCGATCTTTCGAGCGCGCCGGCTCCCAAGGCGAATCCCCAAGTCGTTCTGCTCACCGGCTGCGCCGGCCTGCTCGGACACCACCTTCTCAACGCCCTGCTGGCCCAGCCCTCGATCCGCAAGGTCATATGCGTTGGGGTCCGGCGGCTTTCGGAACGCCTCGGATCTGGAAGACTGCCTTCCGCCGGCGGCCGTGTCGTCTACCACGAAGGAGACCTCTCGCTGCCACACTTCGGCCTCGACCGTGGCGACTGGGCTGCCATCTTTGGCGAGGTCGACGCCGTCATCCACAACGGCTCCGACACGTCGCATCTCAAGTACTACTCGGCCCTCCGGGAGGCCAACGTCCAGTCGACGCGCCAGCTTGTCAGCGCGTGCCTGCCACGATCGGTCCCATTCCACTACATCTCATCGGCCGGCGTGGCGCTGTTCGCCGGGCTCGACGCCTTTCCACCGACATCATGCACGGGGACGGGCAAGACGCCACCGGCTGACGGTTCGCATGGCTACATGTGCGGCAAATGGGCCTGCGAGAAGATGCTCGAGCGCCTTGTTACCGCCCAAGTCCAGGACGGTCGCCGCGCGCCTCTGCGGGTGGTCATCCAGCGACCGTCCACTATCATCCGCGCGGGAGCCGACGCGAGGGTCAACGAGGCCGGGCTCGACTGGGTGAACGCCATGCTGCACTACGCGCACAAGACACAGACGGTGCCCGATATCAAGCACAACGCCGGTTCTTTCGACCTGGTCTCGGTCGAAACTTGCTGCGACGACGTTACGGGAGAGTTGTTCAGGCACGCCGGCAGCAGCGAGAGCCACGGCGACATCACGTACGTCAACAACGTCGGCGATGTCGTGATCCCCATGGCAAGCATGGCGGATATTGGGCTCGAGATGACAGGCAAGGCCTATGAGGTTCTGCCGATGCACGAGTGGCTTAGGAGAGCCGTCGCCACCGGCATGCATCCCGGCGTCGCTGCTTTGATTGAATCATTTGATGAACCCGGCGTTAGCAAGTACCCCGCGCTGCTGAGGACCAGCAAGGCATGAGGGTGGACGTGTTGGTCCGGGGTTGATTTTTTGGTTTGCGGTTTCGACGTCGACATAAAAGTACAGAATCTAGAATATATACCTTGAAATAGAGACAGAATGACTTGAGTAGGTAGACATCTATTGATAAGACGTCGCAACCCGACCAGCAGCTCTTAGATAGCGTTGCGAAACCTGTAAAGCATAGACTTGGCGTTTAGAAATGTGGCCTGGTGAACTTGCTCTGGAAAGCAAGGAGGAGAGGAAGTTGGTAAGCTGGCATACAAACACCTAAACCACACAACCTGCCTAGATACTATTATATAACTGCACCTAAAGTGACTAAGTAACCAGAGGTAGCTAATAATAACCTAATAAAGGCTATAACTATATTATCCTTAGGCATGTCTCTGCCTAATAAGGCTAAAGTTATATAAAAGGAATAGTCTCTTATTCTTATTAAGTATATAATATAGTTTATAAGTAACTACTAGTTAGTAAATTCTACTATAAGTATCTATATTTAAGAATAAAGGTTAAACTAATAAGTAATATTATTCTCAAAAGTATTATTAGTTAGTAATATTCTATATAATAACTATTAAACTATAAAGAATATATTTCAAAATAAATTAATTTAAAGAAGAATAGTAAAAATAGTAATAGTTTAAAACTAGAGAGTATCTAGAAAGTTAGTAGCTAGGTAGTATTTTTATGGTAGGCAGAATACAGGGATATATAGAAAGTAGGTGCTTTATGTTGTACACAAAAACAACGCCGTTAATTACATGGCAGCAACTAACGCCTTATATCACTGTATGACACTTTAACTTATAGTGTTTATGTATTCCTATCTATGTGTCTGTGTGTATATGTATTACTGTCTGTAATGTCCTTCCTTTCTACTTACCTGAGGGTCTAATACACTCTTATATGCCACGCTTCATCAGGCTGGCTAACTAAAAAGGAAAACGCGAAATCCTGCCCCGTTTCACTAGTTTCAAAGATACGTCGACAATAGGTTTCCTGACAGAGGCCCTTGAGGTTTGAGACAGTTGCTCTCTAGTTTCTCACTTTATACAATGCTGCTAACAGTTCTCTGTTCCAACTTATCAAATACCGCTCGCTGATGCCGAGTAGCCCTTTTCCGCAAGATCAATATGTTCACGTAGCAAACAAACGGCTTCGCGGTATTTCCAAAGCCTCCCATCACCTCCAACCCCAGCCACAGAATAAGTCGTAGCCCAGCCGTCGGTTAGACAGCCACACGAGCCCATGCCATCACGTCCCGACACGCGTAGCTCGATCGGCAGACCAAGGAGTATCTCAATAGACTCAAACTGATGCCGTATTGCTTGGCACAGGATCTTGGTCCGGAGGCCAGCCTGCCGGATGACAAACCCGTCCAAGCGCACCTCTGGCAAGACGGCGAAACTGCTGTTGGACAGCGAAATGAGAGGAACGCGATCCGGTCGCGGCGTCCCTGGGTTGCAAGTTTCTCTACTTGCCATGTCTCGCAGGTTAACCAGGCATACATTGAACAATTCAACGAGGCGGATGTAACACGATTCAATGTTGAGAATGCACGGTGAGTCGTCCGGAATCCGCGCACCAACGCAGTGTGTCGCCTTTGACCCACTGCCGAACGAGCACGGGGATGATGGGGATGAAAGCCCGAGGCCACCCAGGTCCCGCAGTGTGGATATGTATTCCTCGGCGATGGCGAGGGCATCTCCAAAGGCTCTGGACGCTGCCGGACCCCAGCCGTTTGTTCGCGTTCCGGGCTGTGTCTCCAAGGTCCTGTCTGGCTGCTGTCTGCTCAGTTGCTCGCACAATCTGAGGTTCAGGCGCAGCAGGCGTACATCCAACTCGTCTCGCTGCCGCCGTTCCGAGACGTCTGAGACGTGGCTGTTTTGCGACCTGCACCTCTCTTCTGGCGCTCCGACGGGGGAGTGACTTTGGTGTAGAAACAAAGGCGAGCTTTCCGCTGGGAAGAGCCCGTCGAAGGTGTTACTGTCATGGGTGTCGAGATGGTAGGAGAGCGAGTGGTTGTAGAAGACAGAGAGCGAGAGTCCGTCGTCTTCATTACTACGGGCGACCGACGTCTCGGCGTTAGGAGACGACTCCAATGGGGACATCTGGCCCCGCTCGTCCTCCATGTGCCAGGAGGGCGTGCTCGTCCACTCTCGTTCAAGGTCAGGCGTTACTGCTGTGTCCTCTGGGCTTCTAAAAGATTGCGAACGCGCATGTCTCCGAGGGCGCCCGTCGATGATACTGGATCCAAAAGTAGTCGCGCCCCGCGGCTCCGTGTAGCCCAAAATGCACACGACGCCGGCACGCACGCAGCGGCCGCACGCCATCTGGGCGCCACACTTCACCTGCGGTGGACATCGCAGCTTTTGCTTCCTACATCGGTCACAGGCCGACCGTTTAGCCGTCGAGAAGAACGACAGTGTCGGCATTCTGGCTGTTCCAGTTGCGAAACCCTTCAATGAGTCTTTACATTACGATGGAAAGTGGGCATCATGAGAAAATAGTAATATCTACGGGACGGGGAGATTGCCTAGATATAGGCTATCTGTCAGTCCGCGTCAAAAAGGTCCTCTGGCTTTGCCGAGGCTCACCAACGAAGAAAGGACGGGGAAAAGTCTAAGTTCCGGCAAACGGTAAAAAGGCCCTTTTGACTGTTTACTTTTCCGTCAACTTGGATACCTAGTTTGCCGAAAAGACGAACTTTGGTGTGTGGGCATGCTCCAGTCCGGCAGAGAGTTGGGCAGTAGACAATGCCAAATGATGGAGTTCGGGTGATAAAGTTGGCCGACCAAGGGACAGACTTTACGGAATGAAACGTGGGAGTAACTTTGATCACGTTGTGACGTAAGTCCATAATGTCAGTGTGTGCTGTGCCTTCATACTTTGTACTGGTTTATTAGTAGGCATGCGTGTAGCTCTCATCTGAATCATGAGGATATAATCTACACTCGAGAGTAAAATTCTAGACAATGTAAAGCTTTCTGCCTCAATGCTGTGATATATATATGAATAATAGCTGGGGTTCCTAGTACACCTGACTGGGGCACAACAATTGGAACCTACAGGTAAATAGCTTTTCCATTTTGGGTGCCTTGTCTGGGACTGCAACCTAATTTCCGACTCAGCTATGCCTACACTAGCCTATTTATCCCGTTGGGCTATTAACAAGTTTTGTTAGTGCATGCTGTGCCTACACGTATAAAACTACTGTAAGTAAGGTTGAGGCAAGGGGTTACTTACACCTTGTTTAATCTGTTTTCGTCGTACAGTCAAGAGCATAAATATGTTCCTCTTTTGCATAAGCTTTCAATGTTTAGATAGGCTTCTATATTAGCCTACTAGTATCCGTAGATCTTACTAGGAAAAATAAACCACTAGTCTATCTTTAATAATACTTATAGTTTATACTAGGCTAATTTCTAGCTAGTGTAAGTAGCTACCTATATAGCCTAGACCTACCTAGGTTTTAACCTATATAGGCCTAGATAGTATAAGCCTCTTATTTATTTTCTAAGGTATACTAATAACTTTTTGTCATACAGTGATATAAGGCGTTAGTTGCTGCCATGCAATTAACGGCGTCGTTTTTGTGTGCGACAGTTATGAGCCCAGTTTGCGCTATATACCTTAATGGTATAGCCCCTAGCTAGCGTCTGAGCATCATAGACCCCGGGGGTTCAATTCCCCCTAAGGCAGAAACCACAAAAAACCACCCCTATCAGCTTAGTAAGCAGATTGCTGGCAAGACTACAATGGCAGTAAGACCAAAAGAGCAGTAAGTCCACGACAGTAGTTAGACCACAGAAAGCCTTCTGCAATCTAAGGGGGTGTGTCATACAGTGATATAAGGCGTTAGTTGCTGCTATACAATTAACGGCGTCGTTTTTGTGTATAACACTTTTACTATTAAAGTAAATAGAAATATATATTATCTATAGCCTAAGGACTACTAGTAGTATACTTATTCTCTTAGGGGAACTACCTAAGTAGACTACTAAGTTTTAAAAGTAAAAGAGGTAGATAAGGTTAAAGATAAGAGATAAAAGATAAGATATAGAAGTATTATATTATTATAAATATAGAAGAGCTTATAGATAGAACTAACTAACTAGATCTAGGGATATAAAGGGATTACTTATACTTATTTCTTAGGTATTCTAAGAATTTCTCTAGTATTCTAGGCTATTAGGTAAGTTATTAGGTAGGTTATTAAGTAAGTTATTAAGTAAGTTAAGTTATAGGGTATTATTTTACCTATAGTAAGGTATTATTTTATCTATTTACCTTATATAACCTAGAACTATATTCTTAATTCTATAGAGAAGAAGAAGGTCTTACTAAAAAGACCTATTCTTTATATATAAATATTATTATTATATAGTATATATAACTATTTTTTAAGTAGTTATTTTTATATCTAGTATATATAGTGTATATAGTATTATTAATACTATAATATATATTTTACTTCTTTATTATATTATTATTTTACTTTTATATATATAAGGTCTTTAAACCTTAATATTTAATACTCCCCCTTAAGGTATATATAATTTATTATATATAGCTTATCTATAAAAATATTAATAAGAAAGATTAAGATAGTAAGAAAAGGCAGGGCATCTAGGCCACCTAACAAAGGAAAAGAGGAATAGTAAAACATAGGAAAACTACCTACACTACAACAACGTCTAATAATAATAATATATATATTAATCAATAAGTCTTATAATTCTTAGACCTAATCTACAAAGATACTAAAATAAAAGTATAAATTAATAAAGCAATCACAAAAAGAGTAAATTTTCCTAAATAAATAAAAGTGTAGTAATAACTAGTAGTGTATTTTTATATAGAGTATTAAGGCTAATAATAATAACTGTATATAAATAATTATATCCCCCCTAATCCCTTCTTAGGTCTATAAATCCCTTTTTTAATAGGTAAGTAGCTTTCCTATTAATTTATCCCTTAAATTAACTACTATATAATTCTTATAACTATACTACCTAACCCTACTATAATTATCCCCTTAGACCTATTATCTTAACCTTAAGCAAAAGGTCTAACTAATTCTTAGACCTAAGAACTAAAGAAAGAACCTAAAGAAACAAAAGAAAGAAAAAGGAGAAATAGTT